AAGAAGTTGAGGAGGGTCAGAGTTAGAATTAACTCAGACAGCGGGTTTAATTTTGGTTTTATATTTAGTCCTGTAGCTGATATTTTCTTAAGAGTTACAATTTCCCTGGCTCCAACCCCAGCCTTACATTTTTCTTTAGGGCAACACTGTCTAAAAGAAATAAAATGCAACTCATGTATTTTTTTTAACCCATTGTAACCTATTTAACCATTCTTTGTTCTATGTGATTGTTCTGTGTTTTACAACTTAAAACATTTCCGTTTGGAATAGTTGTATTTCATGCTACACATGTAACCATTGTGTCTGACCCAAGGCATGCGTGATATTTTTCGTTTCCGTGTGTGTGTGTGTGTGTGTGTGTGTGTGTGTGTGTGTGTGTAAGTTGGTCTTTAAATAGGAAGACCAGAAAAGAATCAATGCATTTCATATAGTTCTGGCAAAAAATATTGAAGGTACAAAGGACTGCCAAAAGAACAAACATGTGTCTTGGAAGAAGTATGCTTCTTAGAAGCACTGATGGCAAGACCTGGTCTCAATGTACTTCATAACTTTGAAGAGTTGCAACATATTGGAGAAGACAGGATTAGGATTCAGGTTTTCTTCAACTTATTTGGTGAATCTATTTTCTAATTCTAGTTGATGTTTCTTTGTTGATCATCTTAGTGGTTTATCAGAAACTTAATTCCCCTACCCTACCATGGCTCCTGAGTTAGTAAAGAAATTGGGAAATTTGCTATTCGATATAGTATGTAATATTTTGTGGTACCATTCTTAATGATTATGTGGTTCTTTTGTTTGTTTTTTAAGATTGCAGCAAAAATTGGAGGTGATGCTGGTACATCACTGAATTCAAATGACTATGGTTATGGGGGACAAAAAAGACCTTTGGAAGATGGAGGTAAGTTAGAACATAAGCATTTTAATTATTTTACACATGTGTAGATGAAGTAATTTTTCAAATGTTTTCTTTGAAACATTACTTGAATCATAAGGTTCTTAAAATTATTGTTAGCCTCAAAGGGAGAAATGGGAAAAGTGATCTAGACCAGGTAGGTCAGGCTTAGGTCAACCAGGGAGTTTTTGACTTATTAAGCAACAGATTTCTTTTAGGATTGTGCTAGATTGACAGTTTGCACAGACTCCTTGTTAATATTGGAAAAAGCTAAATTGAATAACTTTAGGAGACATTTCACTGGTTTTCCTCATCATGCATAATGAATCTTAATAAGCTGTTTTCACGATTTTGCTATTTCAGATTACACTTTTAAGGTTGAAGTTGCTATAGTTTGTTACTCTATAGTGTGTTGCAGGTTATGCCATTTTTAATGTTTTGTTTTAGTAATTTGTGTTTCTGGTTTAACTTAAAACAGTGGATTTACAGTGCCTTGTGTTTTATTTTTGGTTTGTGTTTTTTTATATATAATTGTTGAAGCTTCTGAACTTAGAAGTCTGCACGTATTTTTTCTTTTAGGTTTGCTAAATGAATTTTGATACTTTTTCTTTTTGCCCTCTTTTGTTTTCTTTTTCGTTTGTTTTTATAGAGGGTTCTTGAGCCTATTGTATGTATTAGTAGTTTTTTGACCAGGAGTACTTGGTTTTCTTTCATTTAAGTGTCTTTCATATTTATAGTGAGGCTTTTAATATACAAAAAAAATGAGCTAATGATGCTTCAGATGTTGTATGTAATGTATTCTTTTTATTTTATGTGTAGATGGCTCTTGGACAAGTCCGAGCAGTACAACACACTGGGAGGGAATGCCCTCTCCTTTTAAAGGCAGGAATTTTTATTTATTACCTGTGTTTAGTATGTAAACGTGAAATAAACCAGTGGATTCTTGAAATGGACACAAATATTTCTTGGATTATGTGTCTGAATTTTTTGCTGCACAACATTCTGATTAATCATTTACGTTTGAAGGGGGGAGGAGAATATAGTATTTTCAGATATAGGTTGTGGTACTCTAAGGTATGCATTGTATTTACTCATCTGTGTAAAGGATTTAGTTGAAGGTAGTCAGTTGTTTTGAGTGTTTCTGCTGAAGTGTTATGCTGTGAAATGTTTGGCTAGGAAAAATTCAACAGTTTAGTTTTGAGATTGCCTATAATGTGATTTTATTTATTTTTTGCATAGCTTTGTGGTCACTGTCATAGATACACTCAACTTTTGATATGTCAAATTTTCACATTTTGATAGTTTTTTCTTTCTTCCAATCTTTAGTTCCTACAGTGGAAGCATCATTAGCCTTTAGCATGTGATATTTTGCTAGTAATGGATCAAAGTACTTTGTCTTGTATCATTCAAAAGTGCTTAACATGCAGTAAGGTCAGTGATACGATCAAAAAGGATTTTTTTTAATGTCTGTGCATCTTTAAACATGAAGAAAATGAAAAGTGTAATTCTTTACACTATAAGTGTGGGTTGAGTCTTGGCAATTTTTGTTCGATGACAAACCATACCCTCAGATATGCTAATAAATGTTTATATTTAATTTTTTGCTTGGAAGGGATGCTAAGTCTTGTACTTAGTAACCCCCCCCAAATTTTTTTTAAACAACTCTTAATTTTGCAGATCAACCAGATGCTAAGAAAGTTGCTCCTCAAAATGACTGTAAGTATTTTTGCCTGGGCTACAAGTTAAAATAACTGAATTTCAGTATTGTTTTTTCTTCCTAGCTTTTATAATAAACTAACCTGAATTTCTTTATAAATGCCTTTTCCCTACTTTATTATGACCAGTTATAAATAAGATATGGTTGGTAACACTTATTTAACTTCTAATTCTTAAACTCTACATACACCACTTGAAAGGGGGGGTGGGGTTTAATTTGATACTATTGCTAAAAATTTCTGTCTTTTTGTTGTTCATTGTCAAAGTTGTTTAGGAGCCCTGGTGGCTTAGCTGTTAAACGTTGGATTGATTCAAAGGGTCCACAGTTCGAAATCACCGGCCTTTCCTTGGGAGAACGGGGCTTTCTACTCCCATAAAGAGTCTCGAAACTCAGAGGCAGTTCTACCCTGTCTTATGAATCGGCATTGACTCTTGGCAGCGAGTGTAGTTTCCTTGGTCAGTACTGATTTAAGTGTTCTGTAAAGAGGTTTCACTAGTTTGTTTTCTGTGTATCGTGAAAAGATTTTAGAGTTTAGTATGATTGTATCAAGTATGGACTTAAATTATTAATTTACATTCTATTTTTTAATTTTTGGTAGCTTTTGGAGCACAGTTACCACCAATGCACCAACAGCAAAGGTATAGTCATAAGCTTTGTGTGTGTGTGTGTTTCATTTCCCATAATGAATGTAACAAAATGATAGGGCTTTTTTGAAAGAGACATTAGTAAATTTGGAACAATTGGTAGAATTAGCCAGGTTTTAATAGAACTAATGTGAATTAGTGTAACTCCTGGAACTCCTAGGATGATATGCCCTAAAATCTCTTAACTCTTTTACTTAACATCAGACTTATACACAGCATCCTGATTTGATGTGTTTCACCTAACTCAAATGATGGGCCATATTTAGGCATAATGTGCACCTAACTTCTTAATTTAAGCCATTTGTTGCTGTTAGGTTTCCATTCTTTACTAGTGTGTAACATTTAATATATAAACATTGTCATTGTTTCTCAGCAGGTCTGTAATGACTGAAGAATACAAAGTTCCAGATGGAATGGTTGGATTCAGTAAGTAACCTAATTTTTAAGGGCTTTGAAAAGTCTCTCTTGATTATATTTTTAGTCTTTCAACTTTTGTTTCCTTTCTTTTTAAATCAGTAATTGGCCGAGGAGGAGAACAGATCTCACGCATACAACAGGAATCTGGATGCAAAATACAGATAGCTCCTGGTACTGATATTTATTTCATATTTGCAAAGTGACTTGATAAACAACATAATGCTACCTGTTTGACTTTTATTGATCTAAAGTTTCTCCTTTTTTTGTAGACAGTGGTGGCCTTCCAGAAAGATCTTGTATGTTAACTGGTACACCTGAATCTGTCCAGTAAGTATGACCATCTTAAAAATATACACAAAATGTTACAATATGATAGTTCTTTGAACCTTGCCTTTGCTATTAACTTCGGCTTTTACCTCCCTTCCCTGAAGCTTTATAACTCTGTTAAAGCTTAAATCTTTAGTTCTTCATCTATACCATAAAAACAAAATAAACTGATTATATTTATTTAAATCTGTATATCGCCTAGACTATATATATATATACATATATATATTATATGTATAGATAAATATAGCCTTGTCAACTGATCTCCCTTGAAACTGGTTACAACTAATCTTCAGTGAACTTTTGTGTTGCTTGTATTTCCCTAGATTAAGGGGCTTCAAAAAGCTTGTGGGAAAATCTTTCTTGAAAACTCCCTCATGTATTTTTAGCTCTTTTGTTTCAAGTTTATTTGGTGCTTGCTTTTATATATCTCCCAGGAGTCCTGGTGGCATAGGAGTTACCTATTGGGCCAATAACCACAAAGTCAGCAGTTTGAAACCACCAACTATTCTGTTGGGGGCTTTCTACTCCCTTAAACAGTTCCACTCTTGGAAACCTTTAGGGGTGTGGGGTACTGGCCTCCACAATTGAATGGGTCCAAGGGGCAGTTGTATAATTGAGGGGTAAAACTAAAGGCATCAGACAAGGTAAAGCATGCAAATGCTCATCTCCAGGATGGCCATGATCTCGGGAGTACGAATATATTTCTAACCAAGGCTTATATACACTTAGGGGATATACAGGTCCCCCCTAGTTACATGGTAACCGGAAGGGGTTGTACAATAGGCATACGTGCAACTGGAGGGGGACAAGCTAGAGGTGTACACACAATAGGAAGGGTGGGGGAACTGGGGGCATACATGTGACGAGATGGGTGGACTCTAGTCAAGATGGGAGCCTAACCTTGGTCCTCCCTGAGTTGGCTTGACCATGTCTTCGGGCTTTCAAGGGAACAATCCACTATCCTTATCAGAAGGGAGTGGGGCAGACTATAGGGTCTGATTGCTCTAGATGATGATAAACCCCAGGGAGATAACCTTTAAGCAGTTGACCTCCAAGTGTATAGCCATAGACTATGTATTAGCAAGCAGTACCTTAGGTTTATAATATGGTGGGAGGCAACCTAGGGAATAACATTTGTTTCCCACACAGGGCCAGCTCCAGTTTATCATATAGAGTCAATATGAGTCAGAATTGATTTGATTGCAGTGAGTCAAAGTTTGTTCCCCTTTTCAAATCATCTCTTGACTTCAACACATTTAGCTTTTACTGAATATATAAAATCTATCCTAAGAACCATTTATACTTTCCTCACCAGCCTGCCTTTATATTTCTTCTATGCATGTTTAGAAAACTCAAAACTCACTGCCAGATCTAGAGTAGCCCATGTGGGTTTGTGAGACTATAAAAGAGATAAGTTGACCTCCAATATCATTTGCCTTTATTATTTTTATTTCCTCTTAATACTCATGCCCACCAGGTTTTTAATTCATACTATTCCATTGAAATTGACTTTTGTTAAGATCGCAAGTAATCTTTAATTATAACATAAATTTTATGTATTCCTTAGTTTTTATCTTGCACCACTTATCTGTCATACTGTGTGATAATCTTGTGATGCTAGAACCTATATAACAAGCATTTCAAACACCAGTAGGATCACCTATGGTAAACAGATTTCAGTGAAGTTTCTAGACTTAACAGGGTATGAAAAAGAAACAGACGGTCCACTTGTGAGGGATTAGCCACTGAAAAGCTTATAAATAGCATTGGAATATTGAATAATACCTGAGCCCCTCAGATTCAAAGACACGCAAAATACAACTGGAGAAAGCCACTTCCTCAAAGTAGAGTTGACGGTAATGAAGTCGACAGTAAATTCTGTAATAGGATAATATGTGTATGCTTGAATCAGTGGTTCTCAACCTTCCTAATGCTGCGACCCTTTAATACAGTTCCTCATGTTGTGGTGACCCCCCCCCAACCATAAAATTTTCATTGCTCCATCATAACTGTTGCTACTATTCCGAATCATAATATAAAAATATGAGATGCAGGATGTATTTTCATTGTTACAAATTGAACATAATTAACGCATAGTGATTAATCACAAAAGCAGTATGTAATTACATATTGTGAAATAATTTCTAATTACAAATAAATGAAATTTTGTCATCATGCCAGGTACTTTTATGTGGACGTATCTGTGGGTGAACCCTCCTGAAGACAGATAGAGGAGCAGTGTCTTGGTTCCTAAGACCATTGGAAATAATGTGTTTGCCAATGATCTTAGGCGACCCCTGTGAAAGGGTCTTTTGGCACGCCCCCCCCCCCAAAGGGGTCGTGACCCACAAGTTGAGAACCGCTGACCTAGATGGAAGTCCAGATAATGAAATTATTATTCATAATTTTATTTAGAATAATATTTGAATATATTTCTAAATAATAAATTTAGAAAGAATGCACTAAAGCTAGTGATGAAACAAAAAGAATTCTACCAACTTACTTAGTTTAAATTGATGAAACATGCAGTCAAGATCCATGGGTAGTTACTTGCACTTGGAATGCAGAAGCTGGAAACAGAGGAGGGAACAGTGGTCATAAATGTCGCATTGGCAACAGAAATGAATCGAGATAACATAGAATGTTGCAAGACCAATAACAGTGAAGATACTTGACTGCTGCATACATTTCACCAAACGGCATACATAAGAATCAAATTGACCACATCTTTGGGAAGAGGCAATGGAGCAGTTCAATGTTATCCAGGGGCAAATTGTTGAACCAAACCATCAGTTTTTCATTAAGTTCATGCAATGAAGACAATTAAAGCAAGTCCCTGAGAGCCAAAGTAAAACCTTGAGTATCCCACCTGAATTGATAATGCCTCAAGAACAGATTTGATCCATTGCACACTGCTGAATTGTGTAATAAGGTCAAGACCGTCATATATTGAAAAGAAGACAAGGTCATTAAGACTATATAAGTGGATGTTAAAGGAGGCTCTGAAATTTGTCCTTGAAAATAGAATAGCTAAAGCAAATTTAAGAAATAATGAAGTGTAAAAGAGCGAGCTGTACAGAAAACAGATTATTTCCACCCCAAAACGTTTTGTTTTACCTCAATATGCTGACATCGTTTTCAGACTCACGTACTATGAGCAACTCTTGGCCGTTTTCCCTTAATAATTATTTATTTCCCTAGATAACTTGCTTTTACCTTTAATCCCTAATTATTGTCATGAAGTGCATTTGTACTCCCCTGTTGCAGTGAGCTAGGTGTTGGGCTGTTAATTTCAATATTGTTGGTTTAAACCCACTAGCCACTTTTCAGTAGAAAGTATTTACAGTCTCAACCCTTGTATGTTAGTAGTCAGAGTCAACTTACGGTCAATGAGTTTGGCTTCAGGTTAAAACAGTTTAGAACTAACCTCTCTATAGAGTTTCCTGGGCTTTACTCTTTATAGGAATATATCACCAGGTCTTTATTCCCACAGAGCAACTTACGGTCTTGAGCTGCCAATCTTTATTTTGATTATCAGCTGGGTGATTGCACTGTACAACCAGGACTATTTATATAATAGTCCAGCTATCATGTATTTCAAATGCACAACACAGCTTTTGTTCAAAAAGTGTTTGTTTGCTTCCCCATTTAGATGAAAATAAATGGCCTGTATTGCTTGTTATATCTCTATCCTTTATTTCCCAGCTCACTCTGTTCCAACCCCATTAGCTTCCTTTATAAACTTCCAGCCCCCCTGGAATGCTTCTTGTTTGCCACTTGTCAGTTCACATGCCTTCTCCCCATATATCTACCATATACACTCGAGTAAAAGTCGACCCGAATATCAGCCGAGGCAACTAATTTTACCACAAAAATGGCATTTTTAATGTGCTGAAAAACTCGACTTATAAACAGGTATATATGGTATATTCATACATCCACCTTTCACAAATACATTCTACCATTTTATGAATTTTGACATGTATGGGGGCAAAGTGGTCACTTAAAGTGTAAAATACATAACACTCTTAGACTAATAGGATAACTTCAGAAGTTGAGCACCATTTTGTAGAAAATTAGATTGTTTAAAACCAATGCCTTTATTTCCATCCCAGCCCCAAATACTGAATATTGTATGCCTAGAAAATGTATTATGTGATTTCAGAATCTTTATACTTCTATAGCCCTTTCTTTAAATTCAAAATAAAAGGATGGTTAATTTTAACTTGAAGCCACTTAAACCTGAATTGGGTTGGGAGGTGTTCCTGATTATATTATTTCATATTTCTCTTTGAATACGTTTTTTGGCATATTACAACTCATTTATTTTAACAGATCAGCAAAACGGTTATTGGACCAGATTGTTGAAAAAGGAAGACCAGCCCCTGGTTTCCATCATGGTGATGGACCAGGAAATGCAGTTCAAGAAATCATGATTCCAGCTAGCAAGGCAGGATTAGTTATTGGGAAGGGAGGAGAAACTATTAAACAACTTCAGGTATTAATTTGTATAATTGTTTTTAGTTTACTTTAATGACAATTTCCTCCCAATCTCTCATTGTTAATACTTATAATTCCTATCATTGTAACAGGAACGGGCTGGAGTTAAAATGGTTATGATTCAAGATGGGCCTCAGAACACTGGCGCTGACAAACCACTTAGGATTACAGGAGACCCATACAAAGTTCAGGTAAACTATTTTATTCAGGGAAAAGGAGGGTGTTAAGATTGGGTGGAAAAATGGAAAAATCAGACAGGAATCAAATATTTTAAGACATGCTTTCTAAATTTTCCTATTTTTTTCCTACTTTAGCAAGCCAAGGAAATGGTGTTAGAGTTAATTCGTGATCAAGGTGGTTTCAGAGAAGTTCGAAATGAATATGGGTCAAGAATAGGAGGAAATGAAGGGATAGATGTAAGTAAAAATGCCTAATCCTAGTTGTGTGCTTAACTGGGGTAATAGAAGTGTCCTTCCTGTTTTGTGTCAAATAGCTCTCAAACATTTTATCAATTTTCCCACTTGGTACCACAGAATACTGAAGTGTTGCTCCATTTACTAAGTCTCATACTACATGTATATACTTTGTGATTTGATACAGATTGCGTCTCAGGAGGGCTTTTTTAATACTTTTGTCTTCATTTGCTTCAGGTCCCCATTCCAAGATTTGCTGTTGGCATTGTAATCGGAAGGAATGGAGAGATGATAAAAAAAATACAAAATGATGCTGGTGTTCGAATTCAGTTTAAACCAGGTGAGTATATTATATTTAATATTCTAAGTATTGATAGAAACTACTTGTTGGAGTTTTAGAATTTTTGGTTTTGCCATCGTGTATTTAATGTTTCATTTATTTGTTTTAAAGATGATGGGACAACACCTGACAGAATAGCACAAATAACAGGACCTCCAGACAGATGTCAGCATGCCGCAGAAATTATTACAGACCTCCTTCGAAGTGTTCAGGTTTGATAAATGTTAATAATTTCTCTTTTTTTAATCATTTTATTGGAGGCTTGTACAACTCATCACAACCCATACATATACATCCATTGTGTCAAGCACATTTGTGCATTGTTGCCATCATTCTCAAAACATTCTTTTATTCAAGCCCTTGGTATAAGCTCATTCCCCGCCTCCTTCCCCGTCCTGTCCCCCACCCCCACCCCACCCCACCCCACCCCCCCGAACCCTTGATAATTTATGCTATTATTTTGTCAAGTCACACTCATTTTCGTTGTTTTTAGTGTAAATTTTAAAAACAATCTGTTGATTATGCCTTATCAATGGCTAGGAATTTAAAATTGCTTTAAGATGTCATGAAGCAGAAAACTACTAGGTATTTTTGCTATATTCAACCCAGTGTAAAGCACGCATACTATTCATAATATTTATGAGCCATTCCACCCAACTAAATCCACTTCAGGTCTGTGACCCATAAAAATTGAAATACTATAGTGTGGGTTTTTTTCCCCTAAGAATAAGTGCTGACTGTTATATGCTAATATGGGCCAATGTATCTATGAACTTATGGTACATTTCTTAGTAGAAAGAAAGTATATTCCTGTTTTGATTTTGCCCCTCTTTAGGCTGGTAATCCTGGTGGACCTGGACCTGGTGGTCGAGGAAGAGGTCGAGGCCAAGGCAACTGGAACATGGGACCACCTGGTGGACTACAGGAATTTAATTTCATTGTACCAACTGGAAAAACTGGATTGATAATAGGAAAAGGTAATGTACTTTATACTCGATGTTCTGATTTGTTAAAATTGACGCCTAATTTTTTTTTTTTGCTTTTATGAACAAATTGTTCTTAAGTTGGTAAGAATGGTCTCTGAAATATAAAAGATTTTTATGTACTAAACTGAAAATTCAGGATTTGCATCACAGAGTAGCAAGACAAAGAGATTTAAATATTAAGTCAAGAAACATTTATTTTGGTGTGAAAAAATGGCTTGGGTGGTTTGGTTTGCTTCTTCCTAAGTTTTCATGTCTTCAAATTGTTAAGTTTATATTAGCTTCTATTTGTAAAAGCAACTAACTAAGCCAAATATTTCACTATATGTTAAAGTTGGAATTTCAACGGAAGCATAAAATGTCTCATATAATTTGTTCTAAAATACAGTTATTTGTTATGGATAACTTTCAGATAGAATACTGGCCAAACTTATTTTAATAACCTATTTAATTGTGACCCTTCTCTTTATAGTTTGTCTTTATAAGAATAGCTTACATCTTTTGAATCTTTAGAGAAATGCTATCTTTTGATTTTAGGAGGTGAAACTATAAAAAGCATAAGTCAACAATCTGGTGCAAGAATAGAACTTCAGAGAAATCCTCCACCAAATGCAGATCCTAATATGAAGTTATTTACAATTCGTGGCACCCCACAGCAAATAGACTATGCTCGGCAACTCATAGAAGAAAAGATTGGTGTGAGTATACTCTTTGCATCTAAGTATATAACCAATTGCTACCAATGGTTAAATAAGATGATTTCATACCCATTTGTCAGTGCTACAGAGAAGAGAGCCCAGGTGGCATAGTGTGGTGGTAAAACATGCAGCTACTAACTGTAAGTCCAATAGTTCAATTCTACCACGCTGTTCTGCAGGGGAAAGATAAGGCTATGTGCTCCTCTATAAAGATAACCAGAAAACCGAAGAGCAGTTCTGCTCTGTCCTGAGTTTGGAAGTCTGTAAAACTTTATGAGATGAAAGCCTCATCTTTTACCTTGAGCAGCTGGTGGATTTTAACTTAGGACTTTGTGCTTACAGCCTAATGTGCAACACACCATGCCACCAGGACTCTTAATATTTTTTTTTTCTTTTATGGAGAGAGCCCTAGATTATGTGCTGTGATCTGCATGGTCAGCAGTTCAAAACTTTCTGATAAGGCAAAAAAATGAGACTTTCTACTCTTCTAAAGAATTACAGTCTGAGAAACCCACAGGCAGTTCTGTCCTGTCTCCATGCATTGGAATTGACCTGATGGCAGTGAATGAGTTTGGTTAAGTAAGGGAGATTTTTCCTTGAGATTTCCTGGTGATAATTGCAAAAAAGTGAAGAGTCTTGACCATGCTTTTTCATAAATGTAGCAAATTATGTTTTAGCGGGTTAATTTGCTATGACAACTTACAGTATGAAGAATCTTTTTTGTAATTGAGTTGCTAAACATTCTCTATGTTCCATGTTTTGAATGGTATACAAAAGAAGGTTATATAGGGGAAAAACACAAGAACGACTTATAAAACATCTTAAGTACTGTGAAAAAGACATTAAGTATAATTGCTTACAGGAAAAATGAAATTGGTAAAGGTTGATAATAAAACAGAATAATAAGTGACATGTTGGTTTTGGATACTCCCTGCTTGATGTGCTTGGATCAGGACATTCTGTTGAATTAACGGAAAATAATACGGGCTACTTAAAATTGTTCACTAAAGAGAGTAAGAATGTGAACTGTGGAGTCGGATTCTTGACAACAGTTAATCTGGTTAAAGGACCCTAAGAAGAAATTAGTAGGGTCTCCTGTACCATGGTTTTCTCCTGTAAGATTATGGTGGTGATACCTACCTTAGTAAATTGTAGTTGTGGGGAATAAATAAGTTAGTGTGTTTATCACAGTGCCTGGCAAATAGCCCTATAAAAATGTTGATACATGTTCAGTACCATATATACTCGAGTATAAGCTGACCTGAATATCAGTCGAGGCACCTAATTTTACCACCAAAACGGCATTAAAAATGTGCTGGAAAACTCGGCTTACATGCGAGTGTATACGATATTTTTAATGATTGGAAAGGATGCATCATAGAAAATAGAAGCAAGGGATATTTCAAGAGCATTAAATGAAGATAGTGGTATCTTAAAAGAATAGAGCCAAAGGGAACACTTAATGAATCTCCTTAATATGTTAAGATTATTATGTAACATAGGAGAAGACAAAGGATCATCTAAAACTTAATTGGTTTGGTTGTTGTATAGTAGTAAAGTTGGCGGTTTTATAATGATGTGTGTTACCTATTTTCCTTCATTTTTGCATTACAACATATTTCCCATAAAGTCCTAATCTTTCAAACTGCTCTTTATATAACAATCAATGTAAATAAGAGAACAGAAACGAAGGAGAGTTGGGTTGTCTAGTCATTGTTATTTTTTCTTATATGTCTTTCCTTTTTGCAGGGTCCAGTAAATCCATTAGGACCACCTGTACCCCATGGGCCACATGGTGTCCCAGGTCCCCATGGGCCTCCTGGGCCTCCAGGACCTGGAGCACCAATGGGACCATACAATCCTGCACCGTATAATCCAGGACCACCTGGCCCTGCTCCTCAGTAAGTGTTGGGTGTAAAACTGGGGTTTAAAAAAAAAAAAAATTCTAGTGTTCGGTTTATTTTCATAGTCCTTTTCTCTTTTTAGTGGCCCTCCAGCCCCATATGCTCCCCAGGGATGGGGAAATGCCTATCCACACTGGCAACAACAGGCACCTCCTGATCCAGGTAAGTAATGTGTTCTTTTCGCAGCTAATATGTATTACTGTTTGCTATTATTTCATCCTTAGATTTCCTAGTATTCTACTCCTCATTGTGTGCATCGTCTTTGCTAATTCTTTCAGTTTTAGACACTGTTGAAAATGGTTTCTGTTTCCATGGAATTTCTTTCTACCTACATTTGGCTTATATAGGTAAAGCAGGATTTTCAGATGTAAAAGCTTTTGGAAGACAGATTATTATTTAGATTTTAGATGATAGTGTTATAAAATGCAATTTGTTAATTTGTTATGTATGATATTATCGTTGCATGGTGTACATTTGTGCAATTATATGAGACTAATAAATAATAAACTGGAGGCCTTTTGAATTTCAGCCCATCTCATAGCCACTACACCACCAGTGTTATAGTCACCAAATAAACACAACTTTTGCTCATGAGCCTGCACCTTGAGTTGTGCTATGCTCTCAATATTATTCTCTAAACTATAGGGTTGGGAGGAGTTTAATGGTTTTTTGGTTGTTTTTTCTCAATTTGGAGCCAAAACATTTACATTAATATCCCAGGTCTTCCACTCACTGTATAACCTAAGAAAGTTATTCTCTGAGGCTGAGATCAAGACTTATGTGTAGACTAGGAGATAGAGCAATCTGGAGAAGTTCCAGTCCTTCTAATTAGTAGTAACTTAACTATTTAGAGGCTATCGAGTATGTTTCTTAATCCCTCTGACCCTAGATACTACTGAAGATAAATTATCCGTGCATATTAATCGTGTAACTGTTGTATGGTCTTAATGCATTAGGAATAAAAAGATGGCTTTTAAAATTTTTTCTATCCAGATGTGTCAAATGAAATATTTTCATTTATTAGCATATCGATTGTGACCCTGTTAAGATATTGATCAACAGTAATCAGTTGAGAAATGTCTAGAGGTGGCTAAATATTACATGCTAAATTTTTTTCTTTAGCACTCCCCTTCCATCCTTTTTTTGTAACATCACTAACAAATGGGAGCTTCAAGTTGCTTCTATTTGGTATAAGGGATATAACAATCACATACAGGCATGCTCTGGCCATAGAAATGCTTTCTCTTGGGGAAACAAGCCAATATGAAATGATTCTCCTAACACAAAGGGTCAAATTAACAAGAAGCTTGCTGATTTCTACATAGGAAGCGTAACAGCATAACATGTCCCAAGGCCCGTACAAGAGAGAAAGAATGGTGGCTTCTGAAACGTGCAATCTATTTGTCATAGTTGGTGTATAAGAGTATTAGAAATAATTATTATTTCTTGCGGAAGAAAATAGAGATTAGCTACATTTCACAATGATTGCTCAAAACATGAACTTGTTCATCACTGTGATACTTGAAATTCTTTATACTCTAGATCCTATAGGATTATCAGAACTAAAGTACAGCTTATCATTCAATATTCTATTGACTTAAACCCCCAGCGTAACATTTCCATTCCAATCTCTTTTTTCCTTTTTTCGCTAGTTAAAATGGTTAACTCTAGGAACTTTTAGGTCATCTACCACATACTGTGCTTAATGACAAATCCGTTTTGTAAGTAGGGGATCCAGTACCCACAGTGGTTTTGAGACAAAGCATTAGATTAGAGCCAAAGGTTTGGAGGTTTGGTTAGGTTTGGGTTTTTTCCAGAAGTATTTTATTGGGAGCCAATATACGGGTATGATATTATTCCATAGATCAATCACATCAAACAATATTGTAAATTGCTACCACAACCGGTTACAAAACATTCTTTCCCTTCTTGACCTCCCTTTTACCACCCAACCCCATCTCCCAAACATCACTACCACTGTATTGCCCCAGAAACCCTTATTCTACTTTCTGCCCCTATATGTTCATCAATCCTGGGTTTCAGACAAACATACAAGAAAAATTTAAGATGGTCATTCCCAGTGACAAAGAGATAAACCCCAGTATGAACAAACAGATACAAAAAATGGTGAAATCCAGATTACGCCTAATGTGCATGTGGTGGGGGCATTCGAAAGGCAAGGTTATAACTCAAGTCAGGATTATCACTTTGATCTTCTATAGTCATCGCTTCAATGTAATCTGTTTGGAAATCAGTTTTTCCTCATCCTTCTATTATGGATAAAGGGAAATTTCCAGAGACATTTTTTATGTAGATCCCACAACTGTATATTGGGCTCCTACTATCATCCATAACTTCTGCAAAGCAAATTCTAACACTTCTGGATCTGATACTAATCCCTCCTTTAATTTCATATTATGACTTGCAATCATTTGGTGCCTGGTGCTTGAGCACTTCTTCCATGTGGACTTAGTTGACATCACATTTATATGACTGTTTTTTGGAAACAAACCTTAAAGACCCCAGCACTATTTTATCTCAGAGATGGGCACCATCTAATTTCTTAACCACTTTTTGCTATAGCACCCATATCTTCTGTTGTCCCTTCTTGAAGGCAAGTATAGAGCAGATCCATGATGTAAGAACTAATCTTAAATTGGAGCTGGGATTTCATGCAAACCCATTCTTGGATCTGTGTTTATTTGCCTTTTGAACCCAAAGGGTTTTTAATCACGTTCCAGTGCTGTAATTTCAACGTGTGCAAACCCTGAAAGTCCATTAATGTCTGAACCTCTTTTTTCTGTAATAAAAAATGCTGATAATGAAAATAATAGAATCCCAAAAGTTTTATTTATTTTTAATATATCTTTAGGTTTGATTCCTTGTAATTGCTAAAGATATTATTGGTTTGTTTTTTGTGGGATTATGGACTTAAGGTGTAAACCCTGAATTTGTTTGTTCTAGCTAAGGCAGGAACAGATCCAAATTCAGCAGCTTGGGCTGCGTATTATGCTCACTACTACCAGCAGCAAGCACAACCACCACCTGCAGCTCCTACAGGTGCACCAACCACAACCCAAACAAATGGGCAAGGTAATTATGACAGTGAAAGAACTTACTTTGTATGTGAAAATTAAACATTGTTTGGAATTATATGTTAGGTACATTTCTGCATAAGAAAAATGTTCAGTGATAAGCTTAACGAGCCAAATTTTTTGTAAATTTACTGTGGAATTTTTTTAAACAATAAAAGTTGTAAGTAATATACAAAACTCACAGATAACTCCTGGAGTAAATGTGCTATCCTCTTACTCCATTATCATTATGTCACATCCATTATCATTATTACTGCTCCCAATTCACAGTCCCTATGGTGTGTAAAATATCATGACTTGAGTCAGATGTACCTTAGTCCTCAAAGTGATATCCAAGTAACTGCCTTCCTAATTTCATAGCATAGAGTAAGTGCTTTCCAATTCTTCAACAACGTATTGAAACATTTCACTTGGTATTCCCATCAATTCTGGAGCCTTGTTTTTAGGCAAAGGCCTTCAGTGCAGCTTGGACTTCTTCCTTCAGTACCATTGGTTCTTGTTCGTATGTTCCTCCTTGAAATGGATCAGTGTCTACCAGTTGTTGTTGATATAGTGATTTTCTGTATTCCATCTTTTGATGCTTCCTGCATCATTCAATATTGTGATCATGAAATCAATATTGCAACATGAGGCTTGAAGTTTTAGTTCTTTCAGCTTGAGTATGCTCTTCTGGCTTTTGGGGGGGAGGGTTGTTTGCTTTCTAACTCCAGTTTTAGCCCATTTCATTATAATATTTGTCTTCTCAAGCTGCTCTTTGACATTTTCTATTCCAGTTCTTTGACTTTTTCTTCCATTTGTTTTCTCTATCTTGCTTTCCTGTCTTTGTAATGACCGTTTCCTTTCTTCATAATGTTTTTGCTGTCATCCCATAGTTCATTAGTGTTCAGTGCAGCAAATCTGTTCTTGAATTGTTCTCAAATTTTGGATATACTCAGATCATATTTTGGGTCTTGTGAATTTGTTTTAATATTCTCCTGAATTTAATTGAGATACTTTGTTTTATAGTTGGCTCCTGGCTTATTGTTAGCTGCTGATTATTGAGCTTCCACAGATGTAGTCAGTTTGGTTTCTGTGTAATTCATGCATAAAAGTCCATGGGTATAATCAGAATTTGTATTAGGAAAAATTTCATGTGAATTCCAGATTTGTTTCAGTCACCAAGGCCATATTTTCCAACCACTGTAACTTAACTCTATTTCCAACTTTTGCATTCTAATTACCAATAATTATTAGTCAATCTTGAGTGGATGTTTGATCAGTTTTAGATTGAAGAAGTTGGTAGAATTGTTCAATTTCTGCATCAGTTTTAGTGGTTATTGCATAAATTTGAATAATATTTTTATTCATGGACTTTCCTTTGTATGCAGATAGATAATAAATATCCTGTGAACAACAGCATTGTCCTTCAAGATCTTGAGAAGTATGTCCTCTTGATTCCTTCTGAGTATGTCATAACAAAACTAGTCAACAATATGACCACATGATTCAGAATGACCAATATCAGGTCCATTTCAGCTCACTAGTTGCCTGGGTTATTGAATTTTATGTTTTATTTCATTTTTTAAGCTTATTTATACTTGGAACATCCCAAGTTCTGATAATTAATAACTATTTCCATCTGTTCTTATTTTCAGTTTGTGCCCTATCAGTAACTAACAGTTCTTGGGAACTTTACTCCATCACTGTAGTCTACTCAAATTTGAGAAGACAGCTAGCTCTTACTAACTCATGTTTTGAGTGCCTTCTGACCTGAGGGGCTTATCTTCTGGCACTATTGTCTGACAATGTTCTAATTTTTATGAGATTGTCAGTGTCTTACAGTGCTTCACTGCTACCCATGAGGTCTTCAGTGGCTAATTCCTAAATTGAACAACCTTTTCCTTCTTTGTAGTCTGTTCTTAAAATGAAAGCTGTGCTGAAACTTGGTCTCTTTTATTGACCTTGCTGGTATTTGAAATACTAGTGACATAGCTTCCAGCATCACAGCAACACAACCAGCCACCACAATACAACACACTGACAGATGATTGATGTTAATATTATTCCTATAATTTCATTTGTACACTTCAGGATTCTCTCTAGCCTTATCACTGTCTTTGTTTGTGAAAGTTAAGAATTCTGGCATCTTTGTTGTACTTTATTTGCCCAAGCAGTTCACTTATATGCTAATTATAGCCAGTCCTTCCAAGCACATTTGCCATGTGTCTTTGCTATTTCTCTGCCCCAGCAACTTGGCTTTTCAGCACCAACAAAGGTGATACTACCACATAGCACCATGTTGCACTCTAGACTGCGTTATTCATACCCCACTCCCTTTTCTCCAGACATAAAAGGAAAGCGTGTTGCCTTTTAGATTTTTAATTTTCTTTTTTCCTCCTTTTTGAACAAGGAGATCAGCAAAATCCAGCTCCAGCTGGGCAGGTTGATTATACCAAGGCGTGGGAAGAATACTACAAGAAAATGGGTATGTTCTACATTTCTTACTTTATATACCTATGTAAAAAGAAACATTTAGTAAATACCATATTATAAGGATGATTTCTTGAAAATATGTTTATATCATGCTTTACTTTGTACATCTTTTATCTATTAACTTCAAAAATTTAGTTGAGTAAAGTGTGTTCTAAAAGTCACTGGACTTGGACACATACCAAGATCATTACAAATATATCATAATAAGAGTTAAATTTGTGTGTACTATGTCTTCAATGACATTTCGTGTGTAGTGCTACAAAGTGGTATAATCTGGATTAAGACTTTAAAAGGAGTCTGAGTCCCAAACCTGTCTCCCAGATTTGTCCCTTTTTAAGGACCATTTGGAACCTGACCTTATACTTAAGAAAAAATATTTTTGAGATGTTTATGTTCTTAGCCATTTAAAACTTTTTAAGATACATAACTCTAGTTTGAGTTAACCACATTTACATCACATCCAGTTGTCACAAATGAAGGTTAAACCAAGAAACTTGTCTCTCCTCTCTCAATGACATAGAAAATACTTGTAGATCAGAGGTGGGAACCTTTATTTTTCTGGCCAAGGACCATTTGGATGTGTATAACAATTCACAGGCCATATACAAAATTATCAGTTAAAAAATTAGCCTAGTTAACTCACCCCTACCATGATGACTGGAACTGCCTCTTTTTTCATGATTTTACAGGCTTATGGCCTGTGGCTGCTTTAGGTGGCAGTATTTTATCATAAGATGTTTCAGTGTTTTTGCAAAGAAAAGTACACTTTGCACGGAATTTTCAAAGGGGCAGTTTTTAAATACGGCCTGTTCTTGATTGCTTGTGTGTGTATGATTTTAATAGTGTTCTCCACTGATTTCTGCCTAAAGAAAATTTTCTCCTGATAAATGACTTTTCAGGAAAGTAATGCAGAGTATTACTGAGGAGACATAAAAGATCCTAAAATTTTTTGTGGCCTCACTTAACTCAAGCAAATTAAAAGCTAAGTTTTATTGCAATAAATGTTCTAATACTTTTTAATTAGAGTGGTCACATACTTATTATCCAAAGAATCTATTTTGAGAAGAAATGAAAATGTTTTTAATAATTTTATAATATTTTTGATCGACTTTCACCTTTATTTTAATAAATTAATATCACTGATTTAAAGAGTTGGGCAGGGGAACAACATCCACAACATCTGGAGCAGGAGCAGCAGCGGTGTCAGCAACCTCCCCCACTCCCACTCCTACCCCCACGGTCACCTCACTGGGGGCCAGGGCTAGGGGAGGCGGCAACAACAGCAGCAGCATTGGCGTCAAGACCCAACAGGCCACCTGCAGGTGCTTCCCTCATGGTGTCTGTAAAGAAGACAAGAACTTGAACAATTTATCCGACAGCCCCTATAGGGTCGTGTGCAAGTACTTCCAGCAAGGGGACTGCATCTTCGGGGACTGCTGCAGATATGAACATAGCCAGCCACTGAAGCAGGAAGAAGCGGCCACTATAGATCCAGCTGCAAAGCCATCCCTCGCTGTGTCCTCCAGCCTCCCACCTGGAGTCAAACCGCTCGCCAAGATGGGTGAAGGAGAATTGAGAAGTCCAAATTTGGCTGCTGTCGGGGCAGGTGCAGAGGACTGGGCAAATGCTGTAGAGTTTGTCCCTGGACAGCCTTACTATGGCCGGACTGTCCTGGCCTGCCCTAAAGTCCTCCCGCAGGGCTCAGTGACCACAGAGCAATCAGAGAAAGAGCAGCCCATGGACACCAAGAAGCAGCTGTGCCCCTACGCCTCAGTGGGCAAGTGCAGCTATGGGGAAAACTGTGTGTACCTCCATGGGGACTTGTGCAACATGTGCACACTGCAGGTCCTACATCCCATGGACGCTGCCCAGCGTGCACAGCACATCAAATCGTGCATTGAGGCCCACAAAAAGGACATGGAGCTCTCCTTGGTGGTCCAGAGCAGCAAGGACATGGTGTGTGGCATCTGCATGGAGGTAGTCTATGAGAAGGCCAGCCCCAGTGAGCGCCGCTTCGGGATCCTGTCCAACTGCAACCACACCTACTGTCTCAAGTGCATCCGAAAATGGAGGAGCGCCAAGCAGTTTGAGAGCAAGATCGTAAAGTCCTGCCCTGAATGCCGCATCACATCTAACTTTGTCATTCCCAGTGAGTACTGGGTAGAGGAGAAAGAAGAGAAGCAGAAACTCATTCAGAAATATAAGGAGGCAATGAGCGACAAGGCGTGCAGGTATTTTGATGAAGGACGCGGGAGCTGCCCATTTGGAGGCAACTGTTTTTACAAGCATGCCTACTCCGATGGCCATAGAGAGGAGCCCCAGAGACAGAAAGTGGGAGCCAGCAGATGCCAGCCCCAGTCCAGGAGCCACCAGGAGTTCATTGAGGAACAAGAGAGAGCCGACCCCTTAGACCAGGATGAACAGGAGGACGAAATGTTGCTTATGCTTTTGGCCACAGGTGGGGATGAAGAGCTGACGGACTCGGAAGATGAGTAGGACTTGTTTCACGAAGAGCTGGAGGACATTTAATGACTTGGACCTATAGTAGCATGCTAAGGTGACCGAGTGACCTCAGCAGGCCTGCCCGCTACACATGCTGTTGTAATAATTCCTCCCAGGGTCTCTCACTGCCCACCCCAAACCCCCAGCTCTACTCCTCACCCACCTTAGGAGTGTGCTGTTTTCTCTTGGGGGAAATTTGCGATTTTTTTTTTCCTGGTTAAAATAGTTGGGCATGTTACGGTTGTAAGTTGTGCACGCTAAGTTGTATCTTCATAATGGGTAATAGGCCAAACATTTGCGGCATTTTTATTTCAAAGGGTAAGTTCAAGATCTGTTTGATTAGATTTACGTAATTATGGAATTCATTTGATTTTATGCCTTTGCACAGTGGGCATTAATAACTATTTTGCCAACTATAACCTTTTAAACTTTTAATTATCTGAAAGGAGTGGCTGAATGTAATGTAGAAAGTCTTAAAATTGTTTTCTTGTGTGTTATACATATATGCTTGTTCTTGCCTTAAATTTTTTTTATTTCTATTACTTTCATGCTGCTCAGTTAATTCTTATTTCTTAAATAATATGCTGAACGGTTGCATTTTCTGTAGGAAAAACTAAACCCACTTTAATTGAGTCAGTCCATCTCACAGCCATGATATTATAGCGCAGAGTAGTATTGCTTCCTGAGAGCGTAAATCTTTTTTTTTCTTTTCTTTTTAACTGTAAATCTTAATAGAAAGCAAACTGCCTCATCTTTGTGGACCAGCTGCTGGGTTCAAATATAACCTAATGCTTCTGGCTTAACCCACTGTGCCACCAGAGTTCTTCTGAAGGAAAGGGTGTTGGGAAAATAATTTTAAACTAACCTTTATGTTTAACTGGAGACTCTACTCTTATCCCAAGTTAACCTTTTTTGTTTGATTTTCTGTAGCATTGTGTAATGGTTGAATGTTAATTCCATGCATAAAGTAGAGTAGTTGTATCAATCCTTCTCGTGTAACTCTTAGAGGAAATAATGTTAGGTAATTTTATCCCTGACAGTGGAACATTGTGTTCGGCTGCTAACCAATAAATTGGAAGTTTGAGTCCATTCAGAAGGACTACAGAAAAAAGACCTTGATAGTTTCTTTTTCCTTCCCTTCCACATCCTAGTCAGCCATTGAAAAGCTTATGAACACCCATCTTTGACACTCATAAAGTTACTTGTGAGTTTGGTCAAATCAACCTTGATTCTTTAACTTAGGCAACTCTTTAATATGTAATTCAGTTCCCTTATTTGAAGAATCTGGCCTGACTTCAATATCAGAAATTTCCGGTTCCCAATTAAGTGTACTTGCCACTTAGTAAGTTGCCATAGCTTGTGAAGCCTAATTTCAACTCTTCATATTTTTAATAGCCATATTAACAAACCATAAAGAAATTCTTAAAGATGGGTGTTTTAAATGTGTCTTCCAGTCATAAGGAAGGGAAACTAATCTGGTCGTTAGTATTTTGAAGCTAGAATGATGGGATATTTTTAGGTAAAAGACTTTTAAAACAAAGGGGTATTTTAAAGAGTGTAGACAGTATGGTGGACGTGTATTGTATGGAAAACCCTTTAAAGCATTTGATATAGTAGACTCTGGGTCCTTAACATCTGTGTTAGGAGGCTGGGGAGTTGTGTATAGAAAGGTAAGTAATTGAATACTGAAGCATAGCTTTGGGGCTATAAGAAATTTTACAAGAAAACCATGTATTTTTAAGCTAAATGTAAATGTTAAGTAATCATCTAACAGGTGAACTTTCCTATATCAAAACTTAAGTGAAAATTGAAGACATACCTTAAAGAGGTAGGGCACTGGGGAAAAGAAAGTAGCTAGAAAGGGTTCTTTTCTCTATGAGTTGGGCAGAATTGATCAGGTTTGTTCCTCAGATGGAAAAATAGAATAAACTTTTTTGAGTACCTTCAAGATTGAATGCCAAATCTTGGCAGCTTGCTTACTGGTTTATCTTCTAAATTGTAACCCATTTGCGATAAGTTTTACAGAAGGATATTTGGTGTTTCGGTTGGAGGTTTTTTATTGTTTTTAAATCATTTTCTTGGGGCTCATACAACTCTTAGCACAATCCATACATATAAATCCATTGTATCAAGCATATTTGTACATTCATTGCCCTCATCATTCTGAAAACATTTGCTGTCCACTTGAGCCCTTGGAATCGGCTCCTCATTTTCCCCCCTCCATCACTCATCCTCCTTCCCTCACAAACCTTTGATAATTTATAAATGATTTTTTCATGTTTTACATGGTCCAGTATCTCCCTTCACCCTCTTTTCTGTTGTCCGCCCCCAGGGAGGAGGTTATATGTTGATCTTAGTAATCGGTTCCCCCTTTCCACCCCACCTTCCCTCCACCCTCTGGTATCACCACTCTTACCACTGGTCCTGAAGGGATCATCTGTCTTGGATTCCCTGTGTTTCCGGTTCCTATTTGTACCAGTGTACATCCTCTGGTCTAGCCAGATTTGTAAGGTAGAATTGGGATCATGATAGTGCAGGGTGAGGAAGCATTTAAGAATTAGAGGCAAGTTGTATGTTTCATTGTTGCTACAGTGCACCCTGACTGGCTCGTCTCCTCCCCGCTACCCTTCTGTAAGGGGGTGTCCCATTACCTACAGATGGGCTTTGGGTCCTCTATCTGCATATCCCCTTATTTACAATGATATGATTTTTTGTTCTTTGATACCAGATCCCTTCGACACCTCGTCATTGCACAGGGTGTGCTTCTTCCATGTGGGCTTTGTTGGTTCTGAGCTAGATGGCCGCTTGTTTACCTTCAAGGCTTTAAGATCCCAGATGCTATATCTTTTGATAGCTGGGCACCATCAGCTTTCTTCACCACATTTGCTTATGCACACATTTGTCTTCAGCGATAGTGTTGGGAAGGTGTGCATCATGGAATGTCAATAGAACAAAGTGTTCTTGCATTGAGGAAGTAGCTTGAGTGGAGGCCCAATGTGTTTGGGTTGTTTTTATGGAAATATAAGAATCTAATGATTTTACTTGATGTGTCTTCCTGTTTCTGTCATCTTATATTGTTGTGTTTGGGTTATATTTTTACCCCTAAAAGTGAAGTGTCTCTTAAAATGAAGTTGGGGCTTTTTATTATTGTTTCCCCCTGTTTTTTAAACCTGAAGTAAAAATTATTACCTTGACCAGGTTTTGGCCCCAAACTAGCAGGTTTTGAAAGACATTATTGTGAGGTTTTATGCCTCTTTTGCAATTTTTAAAATATTTAAGCCTGTTACTGATGGTACTAAAGTTCTTACATAAGGTCGAAATGTTGAAATTACTCCTGTCCTACAAAATTAAATTGAAAAGAAAATATGAGTCTTTTATAGTATATGGACTTTCTCTGTGCTGTTGCTTAGAGAAAGCATTTTTTATACATTTATTACAGTCATAAATCTTAATTTTCAGTTACCCTTGTAATTTTGTGACCAGTTGTGGTGAAAATAGGCTGCCTTCTGAAAATAGACTGCTTTTTTTATGGCAACATCTGATTTTAAGAAAAGCTTGTATGTCTACTATAGTATTTCTTTTGTCTACCTGTATTATTTCAGAGCCGAGTGAATTGCAAACAGTCTAGAAAACTACTAAAATAAAAGAGCTAAATGGGAAAATGCATACTTTTCTTGCCAGAAATTTTATTTGAACATTTTATTTAGAGGTATTTTGCTTATTTCTATATGCATACTGTTTATAGGTTAGCAACAGGAAACAAAAATTTTGATCAGGTTTTCTTAGCTTGCCTTTTAAGTTTGTTGGTTTCTCACAGCTGATGCTTTTCCTATTTCTCCAATGAGGATTTGCATTTTAAAATTTGGGAACAGACTCATTTGGTTTTAAAACAGACCCAATTGGGTAAGAAGCTAAAGAAAATGTAGTGTGTTTATCCTCCACTCCTTAAAGTTTGCTTAAACATCGTCAAGGAACCACCTAAAGATGGTTTACAGATGACTGAACTCTTTCCAAAGGCATTTATTAGCACATTTTATAAAATTAAGTTGCCTAACCCTTTTTATGTGGATTCTGATTTTCCTTTTCTTTTAATCAATATTGGGGTTATAGAACTTATGGTTACTAGAAGAAAAGAAATAAGCTTTCTGGGTTTTTTGGTTTTTTTTAAGTTACAGGGCACGTTTCTGATATTAAAGAAATATTTAAAAGAAAACAGAGACTTCTGACCCTCTGTGCTTTTGTCTTTATAACCTATTCTTAAAGTGGATATAATTTTATATTAAAATTAAGGGGGTTTTTTTTAGGTCAACAAGGGCAGACACAAGATTATTCAAAGGCTTGGGAGGAATATTACAAGAAGCAAGGTATTGTTTTTATTAGAAATGAGATTCTTTGGGGCAATAAATTGTGGTTACAGCAGCAAAATTGTTCTGTTTTCTTAAAGGTCAAGCAGTTCCTGCTCCTACTGGGGCCCCACCAGGTGGTCAGCCAGATTATAGTGCAGCTTGGGCTGAGTACTATAGACAGCAAGCAGCCTACTATGCCCAGACAAGTCCACAAGGAATGCCACAACATCCTCCAGCACCTCAGGTATAATAACTTTGCTAATTTGTTGGGGTGGGGGGTTTTTTTTGTTGTTTTTTTTTTTTTTTTTTGCATGTTTGTCTGTTTGGGAGTGTGTTGGCTTTTTAATTTTTACCTGGCAAAATATAATCATCTAAGTGATTTACTGTGATGTGTTTGGGGGCTGTTTTTGTTTTTATAATGCTTTCTGGCATCTGAGTGCTGAATATTTCTACAATACCTTTGATTTTAAAAATAAATTTTCTTCCCCCAGGGATTTGAAAATCATGCAAGAAGCCACCACCATTTATATTAACCAGTTTTTCTTTCTTAAAGGATTCACTCCTGAGTTAGCTTCATTTAAAGGATTTTCTTTAACTTTTTGTGTATTTCTTATGTATCTCTTCTGCACAGGGCCAATAATAAGAAGTGGACAATACAGTATTTGCTTCATTGTGTGGGGGAAAAAAACCTTTGTTAAATATATGGATGCAGACGACTTGATGAAGATCTTAATTTTGTTTTTGGTTTAAAAATAGTTTTTTTTTTAATGGTTTTTTTTTTTTTTTGAAAATGTACAAAATATCTATCACTACTGATAGGAGGTTAATATTTCTGTGTAGAAATGGAAATTGGTTTGTTTTTAGTATTTAGTGTAGATGTACACATTCCAGCAAATGTATTTGCAACTATTATGTGGTCGATGCTTTGTGATATAAATGTACTTTTTCAATGTATACTTTCACTTTTAAAATGCCTGTTTTGTGCTTTACAATAAATGATATGAAACCTCCTGTGTCGGTAAGTTGGATGGATATGTGGGTAATTAAAGGATTCATAATTTCTTAGCATTGATAAGATACATGTACACAAAATATATAAGCTTCCCCATGAAATATTAATTGAGTTTTTAAACACTGGCATGTTTTTTCCCATTGCAGTATAGTAGTAGACTGGAAGATCTTTTCCATTTCTGTATTTGGTTATTTCTGCACAAATAATCCTGATATCTTCATTTTTTTTTTCCTTCTGTTTGGTTAAAAACTGCATGTGTGTACAATGCTCTTTGGCATATTTCATTGCATTAACAGTGAAATTTCCTTTTATACATGACCACTGTTTCAGACTTGTACTGCTGCTATAACAGTTAACCTTTCTATTCTCAATTTGATAATTACTTGATTTCCAAGACTGTTTCAGCATAACTAATTTTAAACAGTTCTCGGATAATGAGTATAAGTAGTCTAATAAAAATAGTTTGGTGTTTTTTTTTTTTTTTCTTGGTTTTTGCGTGTGTGTGTTTGGGGTTTTTTGTTTTGTTTTGTTTTCGTTTTCTCCATGTAAAGCAATTCTTTTGATGTGTACGATATCAGTGTGTTTCTTTCTAAATGTAGGGTAGAAAAGTGAATAGTGTGTGAAAATACAGCAACATTACATCATTGAAACAAAATGAAATATAAAAATTTGCGAGTTTTTTTCTTTTTGCAGTATAGATAAGCTTTGATTTGTAATTGCACAAATCCAGTCATTGAATCAACTTACTTTTTTATGTACTTAAAATCATTTTATTATTACTCTTTAACACTCATGCTGAAAGTACTGATATTTTGTTGAAATCCATTGTTTTACTCTTTGCATATTTGTTGGCTCTTTGCATATTAATATATTAGACAACATGCAAATACAGTCTGTCTTGCCATTGTCTGTTGAAGTGCAGGTTTGATCCAGCCAGTATAGAACTAGCTCTGTAGGGGTGAGGAGGACTGTGCTGTGTATCATCCTTGATTGTGTTCCTTCAAGGAGCATTGCACTGTAAGTACATCAGAATGACAAATTGATGAACTGCAACAGTATCTTTTTGTCAATGTTCCACATAATGCAAATGCCATACTTTGTGTGAATATTATGTTGGAATACAGTGCTGATATCTTGGAAAACCATAACTGCTTCTTAATTTAACATAGAATAATACGTAGGTCTGTGTTTTACTTTTAAGTGAGCTTAATGGGTAAGTATTTTTGATATGCTTTAGCACTAGCTAAAGAAAATGATCAGTAACAAAGTTAAATAGTATTACTGATGCTCCTAAATAAAACTGTTTTTCAGAATAAAGTATGCATATCTTACATATTAATATGAAAGGCTTGAAATGTATCCGCAGAAATGGTTTTCAGTTTGCAGATAATAAGCAATTTATAAAAATATGTACCAGTTCTTTATTTGTTGTGGAGCACTATTTGTTGCATTGAATTTATTTAAAGGAAGATAATACAAAGACATAAATGTTGAGATTATACCTACAGGGTAGTAAATAAGTAGTACAGTTCATTGTAGATATTTAGAAATGTTTTTCATTGCTTTTATAGAACGTGGAGTATTTTCCCTTACCCATATTTACATCTAGGTACATAGTTCTAGTTTGAAATGAATAGTTACTGGAGTTTAGCATCTGTTATCTTTAGAGTAGGGTATTGACGTGAACAGTTTCAGAATTTTGCATGATACTGTTTTTATAGATGACCTTTTAGGAAAGTGGTGCATTTATTAATTAAACTGCAGAAATAGTTCAGTTGAATTCAAATATAATTCACAAAATGGAGGCTGTTGATTTTGATTCATTTAAGGTTTAAAATCTTTATTAATTGCAAACAGTGCAATTATTTATACTTCACAGTGCCTTCCCAGACCTTCCACCTTAGGTTCTGCTGCAAAAAGCAACAGGTAAGCACAACCTAAGGACATATATAACTAAATATTTCAGTACATTAATGTTGTCCCTGTGAGATTTTTGTGGTTGTGTATTCAAAAGCAATCTGCTACTGCTACCCCAAAATGTATTTTGTTATTTATGCTACCATTTCAATGGAAAGTCTGTAAGTTGTTCAAGCAACTGTTTACTAGTTAATGTTTTTATTTTATTTTATTTTTTATTAAAACAAAAATGAAATGAGTAGATTGCTGCTGTAATTGAACTACATCCAAATCTTTTCCCAAATATAGAATAATTGTTACTTAGTATTAAGAAAGGGCAATAAGTAAAGTTTTCAAGAGTTAGGAACTCACTTGATCAGAAACTTCAACAGCCTTCACAATCTGTTTATGTGATTGACAGGACACTGTTTTCCCTCCCATGCTATGGATTCTTTGTTTTCTTTATTCAGCAAGGACATTGCGGGTTAGTTAGAGTTTTATGACTTTTTTTTAGACAATTCCATTTTCATAATATATATGCTAAAGGGAAAATTATAAGGAATATATTGGCAGTATGTTTGATAAAAGGCATGTGCATCAGTGAAATGTTAGCTGTAAAGCAAGTAAGCTTTCATAATCTGTATTAGCAAATCAGTATTTTTCTGATTTATAGTAGCTTAATAACTGACGCTGCATTTATTTTTTGCCAGTTTTGTTTGTGTGTTCTTACAAAAAAATTTTAACTGGTACTCCTGTGAGTTAAGATGAATGTATTAAAGCAGCATCTTACCAGTTTTGTTTATTCAATTTCTAAAATGTGCTGATCTTTTAAAACTCCTGCTTATCTCTACAACAAAGAAAAATATTCAAAAATACTGCCTTCATTTTCACACACAGTGCTGAAGATGCTGCAAGCACCAAATCATAGCCCATAAAATCAGGTCCTGAGATAGTTACCCATAAAGAGGAATCCTTTGAGTGTATGCCATTGGTGAGCCGATGAGCATGGACCATAGAAGGGCTCAATGTAGAAGGTAAAATTGGCAAATCATAATTGAGAAATATGAAATGTATTCCCATACAATATGATATAGGGTATAATGTACCTGCTTTTGATCACTTTTCATTTTAAAGTACTGGTCACATGATCTTAAATGTTCCATGAACTGTTATAGTTTTTTATTTACCTACTGCACCACATTTATGTGTGTGTTTGTGTGTTTTAATAGTCAATGATAGGTATGTTAAAATTGATAATATAAAGGAGCTTTTTCAACCTTATGAGCCTGTCAAGTTTTAGTTAGTTCTAGTATACATTTTTATAAAAGAAAACGTAGATGAATGCTAGTGAATATTTGGGCATTATTTCTGTCTCATGAGAATTTTTTTAATTTGTTACCATAAGCCTTGACTGATACTACAGCATTTTTAATGATGCTGATCTTAACCTTGAAATAAATGGAAAGCAGAAAAGGTGAGCCAGTTAATTTGAATGCATTGGATGTTAGTGTTAGAAACAATGTTTTGTTTCAATTAAAATTGAACTAATTTTGGTTTAGTATTTATATTTGACTTTTTAAAAGATATTAGTGTGGTGATATTTAGAATTTTTACAGTGTGCTGTTTTAGAAATGAGAAGTATATTTTTATTTTTAACTTACTGAAAATGGTTTTAGTAATAAAATTAGTGATCTAATAATAGTGCTTTTATTAAAATATCCATACATATCTCTGTAGTTTATTCACAAGGAGGGTGGGTCTGGGTAGGTGTAGTAAAGTACCTTTGGAGAGAAATAGGAATATATTCAGAATGTTAGCATTTCATTTGAATACTTAGTCAAGCAAACCTCGTACTAACTAGAAAGTTATCTCTTTTCCATGTTAATGATGTAGAACTTATCAATTCAATGAAGATGTCTTATTCTCTGCACATTCTGCCACATTCTAAATGCATATTAAAAATACCTAGCTAAAGATAATTTTGATTCTGAAAATAACTATATTTTTTGTGTAGCAATGTCACTAGTTTTCTTGCCACAATATAGAAACTTTTGAGGGATTTAGAAATTGGTGCTTTTAAGAAGCCAATCAATCCCAGCCTTTATTTTCTTCAATAATACCCCTATAGAAGCTCATAAATGTATTTGCGCATATATATATATATTTTTTTTCTTATGCATGCTCGATGCATTTTTGTCCTGAGAAAAGCGTTCTCTACAGAAACTACCCGTGTGTTAAAAGAAGATTGGCTTAAAATGGCTACTGTGATGGGAACAGTGTCTTAGGGAGATGCAGCTTGGACTTGAGGTAAATTGAATACTTTACAAACTGGTTTAGAGCTTGATTTAATGGTATTGTGTGTAAAGGGGCACATGGTTGCTGTAATTTTGTATTGATTATGGCGTCAATAAAAAATGTACGTTAATGAATATTAAAAGGGAGTGTTTTGTCTCTTTCTTCACATACTTTAAAATGAACTTTATATTTGACTCATTCAAGGCATATATTGAGATAATGTTAGTTTTCATTTTAATAATTTCTCAAAATAATTTCTCATCATTTTTCAATCAAGTTAACTTTATTATGGGTTTACATTGTAAAATTGTATATCAGACAAATAAAATACAAAACTTGATAATAGAGCATGGTAGCTAATTATTTACAAACTCTTCAAAGACCAGAATTTGAAACTTGAAGGTTGTGCCATTATATTCTAAATCAATTGCTTTTAAGAACTTTCTTATTAAAATATTTTTAGGCAAGATCACAACATAAATTTGCTTTATAAATTTGTGCATTACACATTTGAAGAATACATATTAGATACTTTCAACATTCAGACCTTAGAGGCAGTGATTTCTATCAGATTTTCTATGGCACTTAGTTCTTTAAAATCATACTTTAAATTTTTGTTATCTACCCCCATCCATCTACAAATTTTAAAACACCAACCACCAAAACAAGACTAAGGGGTAAAACCACAGAATAGACTTCTAAATTCATTAATTACCATCTTCTATCATGTTACTTTTACATAAATGGTATTGTTTCATGCAAAATTATGTATGATACTTTTAAAACCGAAAACTTGCTGGAGACTTTGGCAGGAAATGCAGGCTATAGGGTCCAGTAGAATAAACACAGTTCCAATTATTTAATGCAGATTTATTGTTTGTTGCATGGTATGGCAAAAGAAGTAGGTATTCTTTACAGGTGCTTGGGTTTTGAAGACTTATATGAAAAAGGAATGAGAAATCAATGCAGTGGCACTTCTGGTTTCCCTTTTTGGCCCAGCCACAGAAAAGATAGGATGTAGTAAGAAAAGTGGGAGAGTGAAGAAGTTCCGAGGTGAAAGAAGAGAAGAGATTAATAGTCATCAGCTAAAAAAGAGAAGAAGAAAGGTAATTTTTTTCATTAGTAAATTTCTTTTAAATACTAAAGTTAGATTAAAGGGGTGATTAATTCTTACTTTCAATGGTAAGAATACATGTACTAGCTGCAGAGCCTTTGTTGTTGACCGCTTTACACATATATTCTCCTTCATCTTCAGGGAAAGTTTCCGGTAAATAAAGGCAGTAAGTTTCTCCTCTTTCAATATATTGATAGTCTTCTCCATCCTGTAATATTTCTCCTTCAAACCACCAAGTAATTTCAGGTTTGGGTTCTCCCGTTACTTTAACAGTAAATCTAACTGGTTCACTATCTACAACTGACATGTTTTTTAGCGGTTTCTTGAACCATGGAGCTCCTGATCTGGTTTGTTCTTCATCTTCAATAGTGGATCCATTCATGATGCTACCCTCATCATCTTCCTCCTCTTCTTTTTTCTGTATTAAAATAAAATATATTCAGGTTGGCATTTATGATAAGCTTACATTATTTCAAAGTAAGTGTATTAATCACCTTAAAACAAAACAGTGAATATGCTTGTAAAACATTTCAGTGACTTGAAAGGTGTTAAAATGTTTTTATACCTCAAAACTTAAGTTTTGGAAGATAAAGGATATGTAAGCCTGGTACCTTTTGTAGTGCTGCATCAATCTCCTTCTGTTCAAATTGCATGCGTAGTAATTTTTGTTCTTCAATTCTTCTTTGTTGTTGTTCTTCTCTTGCCTTAGCCATTTGTTCAAATCTAGCTCTCATATTCACTTTGTGAGTAAATGGAGCTTCACTCTTTTTGGCAGGCTTTATATCAACATCATCTTCCTTCAAGAAAATGGGTCAAGAATAACAATGGATGGTTTACTTAAAACCAAAATCTGAAGCATTAGTAGATCTGAATGTAGTGCCTTAAAGGTCACAAAACATGTTTTTTGTATTTGTGCTAAGTATGCTACATACACGCAAGCCAAGTAACTACCGCTTAGTTGACAGGTAATTTGTGATAGTTTCTTTACGGTTACCATTCCCTTTACTAGCATCTTAGCCTTTGTCGTTATCTGCCTAACCCATTCTTGATGCTTGCTAATGCATGAGTAATAGAAAAAACGATTAAATGGACATACCTTATACTATTAAAATAGCCCCTTCTGCCAAAAATGTCCATACCACTTTGCACATCCCTACACAATAAGTATAGAGGGATGCTACTTTTTCACACAATTTTAACTCCTTGCTATTATATAATAAAACTAGTTGAACTTGGTTCCACCCAGTATGTAATTTTTGATGGTCAAAATGACAGTTTTACAAGGTGAAAAGTGAACCTGAGGGACAATTGTTTAGAGGCCACAGTTGGAATATTGGAAACTGCAAATGACTCAGGAGCCAGTGGAGATCAGGGTTTCAGCTGTCAATGAGCTTGAATCTTAAGTCAAGAGAAGGTTAATTTGGTGGAGGTCAGTGACTTCAGGAACAGTTTTAATAAAGTAGGGTTTATGATTTTGAGGTGCATGTTAAAAATTCCTAAAATTATAGTTGGTAGTTTCTAAACTACAGCTTTTAGGGATCTATTTGAGGGAACATCAAAAAGCTTGTAAAAAAATACCTTAATCAAAATAATAAAAAAATATGACCAGATAAAACTGATGTATAAATTCTGTTTGTGCCAATTCCCCCCCAGTTGATAACATATTGCTGGGAAGTGAGTTGCTAATATGGCTGAGGTGCTGAAAAGGCCAAGAAAATTATTAAGCAATTTTTTTTTTTTTTTTAGTTTTCACTTTTTCCAGGACTTTAAGTTCCGGCAAGGGAAACTTCTTTGTTCACACTGTACATTTAATTTTACTTTTCATTACCAAATGATCAAGATAACATCAACAGGTACACTGAGTAATAGTTTTAAATCATCCGTTCTCAACCTGTGGGTCATGACCCCTTTAGGGGTAGAACAACCCATTCACAGGGATCACCCAATACATAACAGCACCAAAATTACAGTTATGAAGTGGCAACAAAAATTTCACGGGGGTCTTAACCTGTGGGGTCATACCCCTTTGGGGGTAGAACGACCCTTTCTCAGGGTTCACCTGATCCATAACAGCAAAATTACAGAAGTAGCAATGAAAATAATGTTACGGTTGGTCACAACATGAGAAATTATTAAAGGGTCGTGCATTAGGAAGGTTGGGAACCACTGTCTTAAATAGTTCCTTCCAATTTGCCAACATGCGTTCTCAATTTTACTATAAAAGTTTGTGCACATTCATAAATTCACAAGTTAGTTACCTCAAACTTACAGAAAAATAAGAGTTTAAGGCAAAGAATTCCTCACAACTTGTTAGAAGGCTTATGAATGGTCGCATTTGTCATTAAATGTCACCCCTGTTGATTCCAATTTTCACGTACATAAAGCCAACTGTTAAAGATAGCATAGTTGGACAGTGAATTTGATCCATTAATTTCCTAGGTGACTTCATCTATACTAGCCAAATATCCCCTGGGTTGTGTAACAGTTGGAGATTTGAATCTACCTGGAGATGCCCCAGAAGAGCATAAGTAATCCGATCTTCCAAAAATTGAGCCATTGGAAACTGGAGCACATGTGTGCTCAACCAGGAGTCAGACTCTTCACTTGATTTTTAAGTTTTATGTTAAATAATACAGATTTCACTTGACAAAAGAAATCTAATCTGTCTACTCAGGTACCAACATCTTGGCTGAGAACTTCCCCTTTAAAGTTTTTATTCAGCCTCCACAGATGGCTTAAATGTCTTTTTCTTGCCCTTAATCTCGTTCATATTGACTCCACTCTATGTGACTCCACACCCATACGTATATTACAGCTCTTCTAGTTGTCACAAGGCCTTCCCTGACAATCTCGTACAAAATAGTACCAAAGTATGTGACTTGCTTTTCTAGTGTTGAAAACACAAATGAGTTACTTTAAGAAACCTCAGTAAAAGTACCTCATCAGACCCTTTGTTTTCTTCCACTTGATGCTAAAATTCCCAATTCATGATACTGGTTCTAGGGTAAGATTCTTGTCATGCCAACTATTCCTGGAGATCTACTTGTATCTTCCCCTAGGTCTAAGAGGCTTTCAGTGCAAGGACCCTGGGTCCAACGGATGAGCTCTGCTTCTGATTCCTGTGTAGTAGTAGAACCTCCTGCTCACTTAATTTTCTCTTTTAAGATATCATAGATTGAATTATGTCATCCCCCACCCCCCAAAAGGAAAAAAATAGTCTGCTTAGCTAAGGCCTGATTCTCAGTGATTTGGCAGTTGTGTTATGGTATAATCACCTATAATGTGATCTGATAACCAGTCCTGGTGTGATGTAAGGGAGTTACAGGTAGGGGTCAACACCATTAAAAGTAGATCGGAGTTTTAATGTGAGGAGTTTCCCTGGGAGTAAAATGCACCATGTTTTACAGGCAAGTAAACCAAGCAAAGGACTTAAAGGACCAAGAATGAAGCATCAGGAGCAGAGTGCCTTGGAAACAGGCATCCTCCAAGAACCAGGACACAAAGCCTTACCCCCTAGAACCAGCACTTTGAATTTGCACTTTGGAATGAGAATGTTTGCTAAAACCATCTACTTGTATTTCTGTTAATAGCAGCACAAGATAACTAGTGTAACAAGATAAACCCCACACTGATCCTGACTCGTTAACATATATACATAATGGAGACTTAAAAGTTTGGAAAAACTTCCATGGTCATTTTGAAGTCTGTTCTCGTGCATATAATGAAATAGCCAAAAAGGGTAGTATATCTTAAAAGAACAAGGGGAACGATCACCTAGCCACTTGACACATTTTAGGTGGGCAATTCAGTCTATGATATTTCACCCCTTCGTGTCCTCTCACATTTTTTAATTTACCCCAAGTCCAAAAACATATTTTTCACTCATCTGAATTAAACATGAGACTTCAGGCAAATTCCATCCATGGGCAAAATACCTCTTCATATATACACTTACAAATTCTAGACAAGTTACCCAATACTAAAGTACAGTGGTGCAACAGGCAAGTTAAGACATTTCCATTATCAAGCGAGTCCAAGAACCAACAATGTGAGACCATCGAGGCCAGCAATCTGGAACATCCAGAACAATAGAGTATATAGATGGAATAAAGCCCATAAAATTAATGGCACACCTGACCAAAGAAAGCATTGCAGACATCACACTGGATGTTTGACCAGTATGACCTATGAATGTTTTAATATATGCCCACATGGCTTTAGCTGATAAAATAGGTTCCTCACCCTTGATCTAGGCAGTGACTTTCCCCTCCAGACGCTGGGTGTTCAGCACTGGCTTTCAGACGCACTGCTGTGGCAACTCCACTCCCTTGGCTTTTGAGTGGCCCCAAGCTAGTCCATCTAAGTGGTGACCCAACTTACTCAGACTTAATAGGTCTCATTCTCCCCTCTTGACCATGGCATCCCTGTCCCCTTAACTTCTGGCTGCAATCTTAATCTCTGGCACACCATAACAGTAACCTGGCACTCTGAAGCCAAGTTGGTGAGGCTACAAATCCTTGAAACCTGAGTCTGTAGCATCACCCTGTCAGATCTACCCTGTTTCCCAAAAAAATAAGACAGTGTCATATTAATTTTTGCTCCCAAAGATGCGCTAGGTCTTATTTTCAGGGGATGTCTTATTTTTCCATGAAGGATACGGTACACATTTATTGTTTTATTAAAGGAGACCTCATACTTCCTGTCTGCTGAGGCCAACAGTGAGCTGCGCGGCTGTGCCTGCTGCTACAGTCCAGAGTTATGGTACTTTCGGGGGGGCCTTGTTTTTTGGGGGATGCCTTATATTTCAGCGAGAGGCAAAACTAGGTCTTATTTTCGGGGGATGTCTTACTTTCGGGAAATGGGGTAGGCAACTGTTTTCCATGTTCTTTTTCTTCCCCAGGTGTTCCTGGGCTTCTACGGAGCATTCTGTTCTAGCTGTACTTCAAAACCCCCCTTCAAAACACTGCCTTCTAGTCAGTGCTGACTCAGAGACTCTTAAGTCAGAACTGCCCCCATGAGTTTTTGAGACTGTTAGCAGGAACAGAAAGCCCATCTTCCATGGAACAGCAGGTGGTTTTCAGACCCCAGCCCAACTCATAACCACTGTGCCACCAGTTCCCCACTTCCCAAACAGATTTACTCATTATTATAAAGAGGTTAGGAGTCACAACACTATAGAATTATCACAAAATGGATAATAATCACAATACCAGGAATTATGGACTAGCTTAACTGACACATGGGGGTGGGGGGTCAGGGGCAGGCATAATTCAATTCGTGACATTACTTATTCTCACCTTGCTTTATTGCTGTCTAACTTTATAGCCACCCAATAATTGGTGCAGGACCAGGCAGGCAGTGTTTGTTCCTGTTGTGTGTAAGGTTGCTTCATTCACTAGAGGTGAGAGCTGACTTGGATGGTACCTATCACCACTATCACTCAATATTTATTTTTCATCACCCCAGTTGCACACACTGGTATATAAGTGCCACATGAGCTGGGTGGGACTTGAGGCTTCACACTGATTGATGTAAGACCCAGAAAAGTTCCTGGAACATAGGCGTTCAAATAATTTTCAATTCATGTTTCTAGAAAAATCTTTAACTTCAGCATGATCTTTTTAAAAAAACATTGATAGCATCATTCCATATATATATTTAAACTTCAACACAAACCTAAACAAATTCCTACAAAACAAAGTTACTTAACATGATCTTCCATGGTCAGCTCAGCTATCCATGCTGTTCTGGACTTGTAAGGAATTTAAAGAGTTGAACTTTAACAGGAACTTTTTAAAGTTTCCTCGTGTTGACCTCAATATTAAATTGATTGTAGTCCCAAGAATTTGCAGTGTTGCAGAGTTCATTCTATTTCATTCTCTCCTTTTATTTGCAACCTCCTCTAAAGGCCCTCCCATCTTCCCATGCCCATTTTGAAAGTTGCATATTTAATGAAAATTAACTTTTAGAAGAATACATGTTAAAAAATCAGAGTGGTAACTTCTGGCAGAAAAAAAATTAAAGCCTACCTTCAGAAACTGCCTGAACCCTTAGGCTAGAAGTCAATTTGCAAATCATCTTGTGATTGCCTCTTCATTTTACATATGGATCTACTTCTTTTTATGTATAAGGGTTTTACTTTATTTTTTTATCATTTTATTGGGGACTCTTACAACTCATCACATTCCATATATCAATTGTATTTAAAGCACATCTGTACATATGTTGCCACCATCATTTCCAAAATAATTTCTACTTGAGCCCTTGGTATAAGCTCCTCTTTTTTCCCTTCTCTCCCCCAATCTCTCGCCCTTGTGTATCCTTGATCAATTATGTATTGCTATTTCATATCTTACACTGTCTATTATCTCCCTTTACCCACATTTCTGTTATTCATCTCCTTTAGGGTGGGGGGTTGGGGTGGGGCTATATATCCAATCTTGTGATGGGTTCCCCCTTTCTCACCCTTCCCTCTCCCTCACCATCCCCCTTACACATGATATTGCTACTCCCACTACTGTTCCTGAGGGGTTTTATCATTCCTGAATTCCATGTGTAGAGAGCTCTTATCTGTACCAATGTGTAATCTCTGGTATAGCCAGATTTGTAAATTAGAACTGGGTCATGGTAGTGGCGGGGTTGGGTATGGGGAGTAGTGAGGAACTAGAGGAATGATGTGTGATTCGTGGGTACTACACTACACCTTGGTTGAATCTTCCCTTATACTTCTGTGGGGGGATATCCAGTTATCTACAAAATGGGCTTTGGTTCTCCACTCCAACCCCCCCCTCTTGTATCGATATAGTTATTTGTTTGGGATCTTTTGACACCTGATGCCTGGTCCCATTAACCTATGGAGGTACTTCTAATTCTTGTCATCTCTATCCTACTTTAGGTTCTGCCACTAAATTATTAGTGTGGCTTTCAGCAGGTCATTAAAGGCTTTATAAGGCCTTATTTTTAAAACAAGAGTACTCTGGAGTTTATTCAACTCTTGCATTCTCTTGTTCTACTGATTAAAAATAAAATGTCATAATTGAACGATCTTAAAGTGAATCATTTGATGTTCACTATAGATTTTATCACTGATACAGATATTTAAAAGCAATGCTAAAGAGGAGAAATCATTCAGCGTCCCTTTGATCATACATTTTTACTATTTAGTTCCCAGATTGTTACATATACTAATGATTTAGTAAATAGCATTTGCTTTAAGGCCAATCTTAGTCATTATCATTCACTGTACCATAATTATAGTAAATGTAAAGTAATATACCTCATGAAAGTTTTCTGCTTCTCGCTCTTTAATTTCAAGATCAATTGCTCTTCTTCTTGCTCGTTCTTCTTCTATCTTCTTCTGTATTTCTTTTTCAGATAACTGTCCGATTTTTTCAAACTTGCTCTTTAGATTTTTTGCTTGAATAGACCCACTTCTTTTTAATTTTATTAATTCTTCATATTCCCTGCTAAGTTCAAAGGTTTCATTTTCTTCCTCTTCCTTTGAAAATATAAGGATTTTTACATATTGATACCTGTTAATATAGTAAACCATCCAAAGAGTATGCATAATTTATTTGAAGCCAAGAAGTAAAGTTTAAATAACCTCAAACACAACTGCCAAATTCACTTACTAGAATTGGTGCTACACAGTAAGAGAGGAATTCAGCAGAAAATGATCAAAGCAAAAGACACTGAGAGGAGCACAAGACTTCAAAGGTAACAAAGGGAAAATACTACTACATAAAGAATCCTGTAATATTAGTAATATAACCTACAAGTGGATACACACAGAAACAGTGAACAAGCGTGGGAAGGAAAATGAAACTATACCCACAAATATCTATAGGTTTGGCAGAGTATATTTTTACATGTGTACTCCTACTTAACATAGGACAGAAATAGGTCCAACTATATTGTAGAACATACAGAGGGTAAAATTATGAAAACTACTTAGCTATATTCAAACACCTAAAATAAAGGAGTTGCCGTACCATGGGCCACAGGACCATAGTTTCAGGAGGCATCAATTAGAAAAACAGCCCACAGAGATGACCTGATTTTGGTAAGCTGTGATATAGGCCATCTACGCTGCAACTATTGGTCTCTCCTCATCTGGTGAAAAGAAGAGTGATGACACCTGAAGACACATGGAATCCATTCAGAGGATTCCACTATCCTGAGACAGAAGATGTAGACGTTGCCTGACTAATTGCCAGCTACTCTGATAGGGAAGACAATGGAAGGTCCTGGATAGACTGGGAGAAAAATGTGAAAGAAAATCATTTAAAAGTCCCCTATTCGATGTAACGATGAGAAATACAACCTTCCTCTAGTTCCTAAAGGTTTCCTCCCCGCTCCCACTACCATGACTCGAATTTGATCTTGCAAGTCTGGCTAGACCAGAGGAGGTACACTGGTACAGATAGGAACTGAAAATACAGGGAATCCAGGACGGATGAGCCCTATAGGACCAGTGGTGTGAGTGGCAAAACAGGGAGGGTAAAGGGAGAATGGGTAGGAAAGAGGGAACCGATTACATGGAACTGTGTGTGACCTCCTCCCTGGGGGACAGACAACCGAAAAGTGGGTAAAGGGAGACGTCGGACAGGGCAAGATATGACAAAATACCCATTTATAAACTATCAAGGGCTCATGCGGGAGGGGGGAGCGGGGAGGGAGGGGAAAAATGAGGACCTAATGTCGGGGGTTTAAATGGAGAGAAAATGTTTTGAGAAACGATGTACAAATGCGCTTTACATAATTGATGTGTGTATGGATTGGGATAACAGTTGTATGAGCCCCTAATAAAATGTTAAAAAAAAAAAAGTCCCCTATTACTGATTTGTTACAGATTGCTGGGAATACACATTGGTACAGATAAGAGCTCTCAACACATGGAATTCAGGACAGATGAGCCCCTCAGGAACAGTAGTGGGAGTAGTAATATGAGGGTAGTGTAGGGGGCTGGTCAGGGAAGGAGAAGAAAGGGAGAACCCATCACAAAGTTGGATATAAAGCTCCACCCCCCAAACAGAGGACGAATAATGTGGGTAAAGGAAGACAATGGACACTAAGATGTGAAATAGTAATATATAATTGATCAAGGATTCACGGGGGAGGGAGAAAAAGAGCTTATACCAAGGGCTCAAGTAGAAAAATGCTTTGAAAATGACATTTGTACAAATAAGCTTGATGTAATTGATGTATGGAATATTATAAGAGCTGTAAGAGCCCCAATAAAATTGATTTTTTAGAAAATGGCCCTTGGTCACTTCAAGTCTGAAATTTAACTCACCCGGGGTGATTCAACATTCAGCCAAACAATAAGTAGTTCTATAAGTTGAGCTATTAAACCAGGTAGGGAAGTACTCCTTAGGATAATCAAACATTCAAGGACAAAGCTCAGAGGATGAAATGGAAGGAAAGAAGGATGAATGGAAATGGGAAAGGAAGGAGAGTGTTGTTACATTGTGGTGATTGCCATCCATGTCACAAAACAAAATGTGTATCAATTGTTAAATGGAAAACCAATTTGCTCTCTAAGCTTTCATCCAAATCACAAAGCAAGGGTTTTTAGTTTTATAATTTGTGCTACAAATTTAAGTGCTTATATAATATCCCATTAAAAATACTATTATGTTAAGGTATGGAATCAAATTCTTATTAAACTTTACATAATAATCTGCTAGAACTAAAATATGCATGGCAGGATTACCTTTTACTAAAAATTGTGGGATCTTTGTTAGGAGAAGCCAAGAAATTCTCATGTAATTTAAAGATACTGTACTAAGACTCAGATATAAGTTCTAGTTCTGCCTCTGATCTATATATCATTTGCCTTAGCTTAACCTACTGGTCATGGTTTGCTTCATATTTCCAAATAGAACCAGAGTATCCAAATTCATTGTCTTCTTTTTGGGGGGTGGGGGTGGGGGTGGTGGAGGTTATAGTTTCTTGTTTTTAGGTGACATCAAGTAGATTCTCACTCAGTGATCCTGGGCAGAACAGAGCAAAACACTTCCTGACTCTGTACCACTCTCACAATTCTTATGTTTATTTTCACAATTCTTATGTTTGAGCCTACTGTTTGCAGCCATTAATCCATCTGATAGAGTCTTCCTCTTTTTTGCTGATTTTCTACTTTACCAAGCATGATGTCCCTTTCCAGGGGCTGGTCTCTCCTGATATCATGCCCAAACTACACAGGATGAAACCTCGCCATCACTTGTAGAGCATTCTGGCTGTCCGTCCTTCAAGACAGGTTTGTTCCTCTTCAGTATTCTTTGCCAACACCATAATTCAAATGCATCAGCTGGCTGCTGGTCTTCCATACTCATTGTCCAGCTTAACGTATATAAAGTGATCGAAAATACCCTAGTTTGGGTTAAGTATATCTTAGTCCTCAAAGTGACATCTTGGTGTTTTAGTACTTTAAAGCGGTCTTGTACAGCAAATTTGCCCAATATAATATATCCTTTAACTTCTTGACTGTGGCTTCCATGAGCATTGATAATGGATCCAAGCAAGACAAAATCCTTGACAATTTCAAGCTTTTGTCCATGTTTCATGATGTTATCTATTGGCCCACTTGTAGGGTTTTAGTTTTGACATTGAATTGTAATTTATACTGCAAGGCTGCAATCCCTGATCTTCATCAGCAAGTACCTCAAATCATCCTTACTTTTAGCAAGCAAGATTGTGTCATCTGCACATTGCACGTTGTTAATAAGCCCTCCTTGATACCGATGCTGAATTCTTCATATAATCCAGCTTCTCTATCTGCTCAGCATATATATTAAACTAATATGGTGAGCAGATATAACCTTGTCACACACCTTTCCTGATTTAAAAATATTCCTTTGTTCTGTTTGCACAACTGCCTCTTGATCTATGTTACAAGTTCTGCATGACCACAATAAAGTGTTCTGGAATTCCCATCTTCTCAATGCCATCCATAGTTATGATCCACACAGTCAAATGGCTTGGCAAATTCAATAAAGCAAGTAAACATCTTTCTGGTATTCTCTGCTTTCAGCTAAGATCTACCCAGCCTCAGCAGTGATGATATCCCTTGTTCCATGTCCTCTTCTGAATCCGATCTGAACCTCTGACAGCTCCCTGTCAAGATACAAATGCAACTGTCGTTGGATGATAGGCAGCAAAATTTTACTTGTAAGTGATATCAATGACATTGTTCTATAATTTGAACATTCTGTTGGGTCACCTTTCTTTGGAATAGGTACAAATAAGGATATCTCCTAATCAGTTGGCCAAGTAGCTGTCTTCAAAATTTCCTCAATTGAAACAATATCAATTGATATCATGTTCAGTTGCTGGTGTTTGTTTTGGTCTAATGCTTTCACTGCAACTTGAACTTCCTTCAGTACCATTCACTCTTACTCATATGCTGCCTACCTAAAATGGTAGACTGTAGACTAGTTCTTTTTGTTACAATGATTCTGTATTCTTTCCAACTTCTTTTGATGTTTTTTGTATCATTTGATGTTTTGCCCATAGTATCTTTCAATATTGCAACTCTAGTCTTGAAATTTTTCTTGAGTTATTTCAGTTAAAAATATGCTGAGTGTGTTCTTCCTTTTTGGTTTTCAAACCAGGTAGCTGTTTTCTAAATTTCTTGATATAGACAAGTGAGTGCTTCTAGCACTGCATCGTTTTGTTGAAACATTTCAATTAATATTCTCTACATTAATTCCTGGAGCCTTGTTTTTTTACTAATGCTTTCAGTGCAACATGGACTTGTTTTAATACCATTGATTCAGCTGGTACCTTTTAAATGGTTGTTGGTAGATTCACTTGTTTGGAACAGGGATTCTTTGTATTCTTCCTATCTTCTTTTGATGCTTCCTGCATCATTTAATTATTTTGCTCATAGAATCCTTCAATATGTATTTCAAGACATGAATTTTTTTCTTCAACTATTTCTGCTTGAAATTTGCTGAATGTATTTTTTACTCTCTTTAACTTTCTAACTCTAGGTTTTTGTATATTTCATGAGAATCAAAATATGACCTTCAGTAAATTACACTTGAATTTAGAAACCATTTCAAGAACAGATTGGTAAATAGCACATTAATAACTGAAGATAATATATGGGAAAGTAAAATGTCATTATAAAGAGAAGAGCTCTCCAGTTTTCCACCATCTTGAGTATGGTGGTTTTCCATCTTCACAAAGTTGTTGAAGACTTTCAGAGATTCCTAGCTAAGAAACAAAAGCAAAATCGGCCCATTCTTCTATGAATTAGAATGAAAACTGGCAATAAGATCAGGTACAACTCCAAGAGAAAACAATGGAGAACCAAGTTGAGTCTGTAAGGAGATCCCCCTACTCCCCTCCCCCCAGTAATGGCACACAGAGCTGCATTTACCCAGGCCCACTAGCACTATCTGTCATGCTGAATTTAAGATTTTGCCACCATCTGGTCAATTGAACTTACATTGGCAAATATCTGTTTTCTTCCATGGTGGTTATGCTTCTGCATCTAGAGTTTAACAATGAATAATGTAAGGGCATTGGTTTGAAAAAAAAGAGAAAGACCACAGTGTATGACAGAAAAGACTCTGAAACTTGCTTTTGATTGGAGTAGGTAAAACAAATGGAAGAAATGGTAAAGTAAAAGAACTGAGTATAAAATTTAAAAGGGTAGCATGAAAGACAAATGAAACGTATGCACAAGACCTCTTTTGAATATTGAAAAGCAAGAGATTTGGGGACTAAAGTGTGCCTAACCCAAGCCATGATATTTTCAATGGCCTCATATGCATGAAAAAGTTATATACTGAATAAGGAAGAGGGAAGAAGTATTTCTATGAAGTTGGCCCTGTATATTTATGTGTATATTTATTAAATTTCAAAACTAAAAAAAAATACTAAGATTAAGTCAACTTTATCAAACTTTTACCTTAGAATAATTTTGTAAAAATTATTCAGATTTACCTAACTGATGTTCCTATTAGCAGGCATGGTATTCCTGTAGCTTAATTTTTTTTTAAGTTATCACTTTAATTCTAGTTCCAAGGAAAATAATACATGGTTACTGTAGGTAATATATAAAAACTAATTAGTTCGATAAATACTTGTAGAATATAAATTAATGTTTCCTAAAAATCTTACTTCTTCCATTTCTTGTCTCAGTTGTTCAAATTCTTGTTTCTCCATTTCTAGCTTATGTTTTCGTTCCTCCTCTGTTCGTCGTCTTTCTTCTTCCATTTTTTGCTTTAGTAATTCTTCAAAATTAATTTCCAGTTTTCCAGGTGTAAGAGATTCTTGAGAGATTGTTTTATACATCTCTGGGGAGTCATCATCTATTACCTAGGTAAAATAATTATTTTATGACTTTTAACTAAATTATAGATACTAATAGGAAATATTTCTTGTAGAAAATAGAATTATTTGTAGTACACATGTTTCTTTATGAAGTAGAATTCAAGAGATCTAAATTCTCAAAAATATAAAACAATAGAGGAAGAATTATCAGAAAATATAAAACTGAGTATTCATTGTTGTTTACAGTGGAAATGTGACCATCTGTTTATTCACCACTCCACTGAACATAAAGCATACTTTGATTTTATTAATGCTGTAAGTAATTTGAATTAAACATTAAAAATTTCTATTATTTCTAATAAATTTCAATACATTAAAATATATCCACATTGGTAATCAAAATAGAGCATTTCAGTTAAATCCTAGTTTATCTGAATGAGTTAGGTGATAGATCAAGATTCCTTTATAATCAGGCAAAAATAATTCCTAAAGCTATTATTTTATTGGACTGATGTATTTGTGGTCAGATTAATTTTAAAGAAATAACAGTAATTCAGACTTACAGAGACTTTACTTTGGAACAAATACAACTCTAAGCACTGTAAAACCAAACTCATTGAGTCAGTCCTGACTCATAGTCAACCTGTAGAAGTAGAACTGCCCCCTTTTAGTTTCCAAGGCTATAAATTTTTATGGGAGCAAAAGGCCTCCTCTTTCTCCCACAGAATGGATTGAGAGTTAAAACTGTTAACCTTGCAGTTAGCAGCCCATGCTGTAATGCATCATACCACCAAGGCTCCTCTCTCAGCACTGTACTGATTATTCGTTTCTATAACCCTGCCAAGTATCCCCATTATGGAGAAGAAGAAATTTTGGCACTGAAGAGTAACTTGTCCAAAGTCAATATAAATAGTTAGCAGTGAAGCTGAGATTCAAAACTTCAATAATTTTACTAATGATATTAATATAATATGACTTAAACTGTCTTTTTGTAATTTCATGAAAACTGTCTGGCTCTGTCATCTAGCTGTGGCTTTAGACCAGTTATCTCTCTTGGGAAGTTATATAATCTGTCAACTTCAGAAGGGTAGAGTCTAGCCTGTCAATCAGGTCACAGCTGATGACCTCATTGGAGGCACCATGGAAGTAAAATAGCTCACTGGAGGCCAGATAGACTCTCTCTCTCTCAGTCTCTCTGTTTGTCTCTCTGCGAGACATTCCTGTTGACAAGCCACATGGAGCTACGCTGATAAAGCCAGAGCCCTGGAGCTAGAGGAACCATGTGGAGACCCACACCAGCACTGAGATGCTTCCACCACCACTGGATCCACAAGACTTTCCACCCACTGGCCTGTGATCTTCCTGATTCTGCGTCATTGTATGTGTTGCATGAGTCTGAAGAGGAATTTACAGACTGGTATGAAACATATGGGTCAATATTGGATTTATGGACAATTCTGGACTGGGCTGGGCTGACTCTTTGATAAAAAGCTCTTTTATATACATGTATGAGTGTCACTGGATTTGTTTCTCTAGTCAACCCAGACTAACACACTCACCTTTCTTAAATCTGAACTTCTTTATATGTGACATTAGGATTAAATAAAGTTGGAAACATTTAGAAGCGTGATTGACACTTTGTAAGCTCTCAAATAGTGGTTTTATTATTACATTGTCATATGCATATATCCAATTCCTCATTGCAAATGGAAAATTAGTTTTTAAGTTGTTGAGTTGGAATATATTTTAAAATGAAAACAATGACCTAACTATTTTTTTATCCCTAAAAGCATATCATATAATAAGCTTCTGGCCTAAATTGTGGCCCTGTGGTTGAAATAGGCAGAGGGGAATGAGAGAGGTGAAGGATAATTATTTATTTGATGCATATTTTATTTGATAGATTTTACTCAGAAATAATTGAATGTTCTGGGATTTTTTTTTTCAGTTCTTTTTTTAAAATCATTTTACTGGGCGCTCTTACAGTTGAATGGTTTGACAATTCATGGATTGCTTTAATTTTTTTAATGTAATCTATGAAAAACTCTGGTGGCACATTGGTTAAGTGTTCATCTCCTGAACATTTTTAATCCACCAGCAAGTCTTTGAGAAAAAAATATGGCCACTGGCTTCCATAATAGTTACAGCCCTGGAAACTCTTATCAGGTAGTTCTATTTTGTGTTACTAGGATATGTCACAAAATTTTACTATAAAAAGAAAGCTTTATTAAAAAAACAAAAAATAACAATGTGAAGTTGTTATTTTTTAACATATCTTCCAGATAGGTCTATAATTGTAAGTAAAAACTTATTGCTACAACAGTTCTAATTCATATATGCACAGCTTTATTCTAAATAAACATGTTTGAACACATTTCTACAATCAGTGGATGGCTGAAGACAAGTTTTCTCAGTAATTCACTTGTCTTCGTCTTATTAGGGGCCTTCAAAAAAAGCCCATTCAAAACAGTAACTGCTGAGAGGATCTACTGAACCAGTTAAATTCAAGGTACAGAGATATGGTGATGGTTTTGGGGAACCCAAAGGGGAAATCTTAATTGATTTCTTGAACATTCCAGGATAATCATCCAGGCTTGTTGTGAATATGTTATAAGAAAATTGAAAACCACACCGATGAGAAAAAAGTTGCACCAAGGAATTTTTTCCCATCACGACAGTGCAACTGTCATTATTAGAGGGTCACTGGGAAACCTTACCCTCTGCACCCTACATCCCTGATCTTGCCCCTTCAGATTTCTTTTTATTCCCCAAACTCAAAGAACATTGAAAAGGAACACAATTTGAATCCCTGCAGGATGCCCAAACTGTTGTTTTGATGGGTTGCAAATAGAAGAGCACAGAATTCTTCGAAGATTAGAGAGATTGAAATACCGCTTTCAAAAGTGTATAGACCAAGATGAAGAATATGTTGAGAAATAACAACTTACTCTTTTATTCCATCCTCTATGTCGGGGATGGGAGCTTAATCAGAACTTTCTCATCATTACAATGAAGCAAACACAATGATATATCATTGTGCCATAGCAGAATTTAAAACCTAGTTGCTACTCCTATTCTTGGTAAAATTCCTGAATTAACAGGGTGTTCTTCACAGTCTAATGATAATTATTAATACTCTAAAACGCTGAATCCTAATGGAATATTATCCAATTGGGTTTTGTTTTACCATGCTCCTCCTTGCTTCAGCAAATGCTTTCTTTTCTTCCTCGATTCTTCTTCTGGCTTCTTCTTCTGCTTTCCTTTTTTCATCTTCTCTCCTCTGCCTTTCTATTTCTTCAAAACTGAGTTTAAGTTTACCAGGGCGGTACTCTTTAAAACACTTTTCTGTGTCTTGGTCTTCCTCTTCTTCACTTACCTAAACAAAGAAACTATTAATTACTATGAAGTGGGAATCGTCAAACCAAAGGATGAATTATGACAAAGGCACAGAATTAACTACCTCATACAGAAGTAGTTTTATGTCCTTAATATGACTGACTAAAATCGTCTTCCTTTTATGGTCTTATATGATAAAGTAAGGTGCTCTGGTGGCACAGTGGCTTAAGCATGGGCAGCTAACAGGAGGTGAGTGATGCTAACCCACCAGCTACTCCTTAAAAGAAAGATGGGGCAGTCTCCTTCTGTAAAGATTTATAGCCTTAGGGTTGTTATGAGTGGGAATCAGCTTGATGGCAGTTGATTCCACTAAATTCTATAGACTTGTTATGAGTTGGAATCAACTTGGTGGTAGTAATTACATGATAAAGTATTCAAACTTGAAGAAATTCCAAATAAAGATTTATTCATGTTAAATAAAAATTCTCAAGCAAGCCAAAAATTTTAAATAGGTAAGATGAAGTATTAAAAAATTAAAACAAACTAAAAGTATTGTCTTAGGGGAATACAGTGAACCCTCGCCACTTTGCGCTTCGACTTCCACGGCTTCACTCTATCGCGGTTTTTGCGTAATAGCGCATGCTCTGTCATTACTGCCACCGATTGGCTCATACTGTACACGCTTCTGTCTGCATCGCTATGTATTGGAGCTACGTATCAGATGCATTTTTGCTTTTGTACAGTGTACTGTAATTGCGATTTTTTTTTTAACATTTTATTAGGGGCTCATACAACTGTTATCCCAATCCATACACACATCAATTATGTAAAGCGCATTTGTACATCGTTTCTCAAAACATTTTCTCTCCATTTAAACCCCCGACATTAGGTCCTCATTTTTCCCCTACCTCCCTGCTCCCCCCTCCCTCATGAATCCTTGATAATGTATAAATTATTATTTTGTCATATCTTGCCCTGTTTGCGATTTTTAAGAAATTTTATCTAAGCCCTATGATGGCTCCTAAACGAGCTGCTTCTTATAAGCCTTCTGACAATAAAAATAAGCGCCAGATGAAGATGCTCACCATCCAAGAAAAGGTAAAACTTTTGGATATGATCAAAGATGGCAAGAAAATCGTGGAGGTTGCACGCCATTGATTACAGTATTTGTAAGAACTATGTATAATAATACTGTATGTGAAATATGTAATACTGTAAACTAGATGCCATAAATAATATAATAAATGATAATTGTAACGTCCAAAATGTTTTACTGTATTTTCCCTTTTTCGTTTAATAAATTGAGCAATACGAGTGTAATGGTGACTAAAGGGTGTTTTTTCATGTCCTCTATGCTCTAACTATGAAAATATTTGATTTACAAATAAGGAATCCTACTTCGCGGAATTTCATTTATCACGGTAGGGTCTAGAACCGATTAACTGCGATAAACGAGGGTTCACTGTACTAACATAGTTTGTAAAGATAATGTTGTACATTCTAATTGGTAAAAAGCAACTGAAATCTTAAAAGCAGCCATCTAGGTGCAACTATTGGTCTCTCCCTGTCAGAGGACAGAATTAAAAGACACATGGAAACAAGTCCAAGGGACTACATAAAACCAGTCCTGCAAACCACTAAGACCAGAAGAACTAGATGGTGCCCAGCTACCACTAACCAACTGCTCTGAAAAGGATCACATTACAAGATCTTGGATAGAATGGAAGAAAAATGTGGAACAGAACTTAATATCATAAAAGAGACCAAGCTTACTGGTCAAAATTGGGACACTGCCCCCCCCCCACCCCTACCACCAGGACCATAGACCTTACCCTCAGGTCTGGAACACAACTAACTACCACGTTAGAATAAGCAACCATTTAAAATCAAAAGGGCAGCATTAAATGAAAAGGAGGCCAGAGATGGTGGTGGGAACAGGGAGTTGAGAGTGATAGGTTATTTATTGATGAGGGAGGGAGGGAGAAAAGATGGTGGAATGGGAGGAGAAAAAGAATCACATATATGGAGGGTTTAACAGGATATTGTTGGTTTCATTTCTCGAGACAGGCTATGTAGAGGAGGAAATACAAAATTGAAATGGACTCTTAAGTCTTTTGTGACAAGTTCAAAAAAATTTTTAAAGGGTGGGATAGTGGGCAGCGTTTACCCAAGAGCAATGTTCAGAAGGTTAGGACGCAGGGAGGAATGGACACTTGAATACAGGGAGGAAATAGGGTAAGTCATGGTACATTGAGGGGACTGCAGTGGATGAATTGAATCAGAATGTATGTGAATTAATTTTTGTATGTTTACCTATTATATGTAAACTTTCACCGATTCACAATATAAATTTGTCTACTGCAGTAAGTAATTTAATTTCTTTGTTAATTTTATATTGTGATTTGGTAAAAGTTTATAAATTAAAATTTGGGAGATAGAATTTTTAGAACACGTTAAAAATCTCATGAAAATAATTTTCAAACTGAATACCTATAACTTATAAAAAGACAAAACAATATAAAAGTCCAAACTTTCTTGATCAGCTTGGAATACTGATGTTTAAGAATTCTATCACCCAAACTTAATTTTTTTATAATTTGCTATTTTACTGGTGGTTCAATGTAATGAAATTGATTAAAAATAACATTTGGTTAACTTAATATTAAATTACAATTTTATTAATAAAATTATAAGATGTTAATTTTATATGAAGGTATTGTATATTATAATATTTTATATGATTAATGTATGGAAAAGCACCACAATAGCTAGCTCAAGTAGACAGAAAATGTTTTGAAAATGATGGCAACATATATACAAATGTGCTTGATACAACTGATGTATGGATTGTTTTAAGAGCTGTAAGAACTGCCAATAAAATGATTTATTTAAAAAAGAAAAGAAAAAGAACCACAATACATAGTGTAAAAATTCTATGAAAATTACAGAGTGAGGGCTTTATTTTATTACCAAAGACACTCTTGGTAAGCATATATGAACCTCAATTTAAATGTAAAACTTTGTTTATTCTAAGAGAGTTAATGTTCAAGGGAACTCTTAAATGACTTCTATAATTACTTTTTTGCGGCTTTCTTTCCCTTTGTATTTTGAAATGGTTGACATACAAACATATAAATATAAATAATTTGTCAGGGATATATGCATATTCACCACCTAGATTACAAAATAGAACGTCAGTAATCCAAGCTGATCAAGAAAGTTCTGACTTAATAGGGAAAGAGCTAGGAGGCAAAGGACATTTATAGAAGTCTAAATAAAGGCATGTATATATGTAAATATATTTATATACGAGGATGGGGAAATAGATCTA